TTAGCCAATAAGAACCTAGAACTAATGGATCAAGCAGTGTTTTTAAATAATATAGTTTCTGTTTGATTATTTCTGTCCTGGGCAGCCAGGACGAACAAGCAGCTCCTTGCAACAATCAAGCAAGTATCTTTTGGGTATTTGCTCAATAGTGATATTGCTAGGTTTCAAGGTAGGTTGATTCCCAATTTTCTGATAAACCGCCATACTGATTACCAGAGTGTTTGCACAAGTTGGCACTCCCACCAGCAGTGGAGGAGTGTTCCCCTTACTCCACAACCTCTCCAACATAAACTGTCATCAGTTTTTGTGATCTTAGCCATTCTGACAGGTGTAAGATGGTATCTGTGTCATTTTGATTTGCATTTCCCTGATGGCTAAGAATGTTGAGCAACTTCTTAAATGTCTTTCAGTCATTTGAGATTCTTATGTTGAGAATTCTCTGTTTAGATCTATACCCCATTTTAAAAATTGGATTGATAGTTTGAGGCCTAGTTTCTCGAGTTCTTTATATATTTTGGAGAGGATGCTTGAACTGGCCTGCCCCTGTAATCAGATTTAGTGACTATCCTGTCATTATAGAACCTACATTCAGTAACTGATGCAGTGATCCACAGCCAAACACTGGGCTGACCTGGAGTTCAGTGGGAGAGAGGGAGGAGGGATCATATGAGCAAGGTGGGTCAAGATCATGATGGAGAAAACCACCAGGACAGTTTGTGGAGGCCAAAAAAATGCAGGTCCATTTCCACCTTGTCTGTTGGTTAGAGAGTGTGAAGATTGACAAGCATAGCTGTACATCCCAACTCAGGAGGTGATTGCTTATTTCTTTGGAAATTAAGATAGCTCATTCTAGTAAATTCATGCCATCCTAACAGGCAGTCAGAATATGCAAATGTACTTCTGCTCCTTTTTTAATTCTGAGGTCACCTAGGGAAGAGCTGTCTTCAGAATACATGACCTAGAATATCGTCGCTACCTAGACAACAGAATGCTAATGATTTGATGTCTCAGAGTGATAAAGCCATTGATTGTGTAAATTATCCTTTTGTATCATGTTAATAAAGTCTTTTATTACCTTTTCCCCCATTTATGTTGGGTATAAAAGCTGTGGAAAAATAAACGCGGGTGAATTTCAGAATTTCAGTCACTGGAATATCCTCCCGATACTTTCTATGTTTTCTGTCTTATTATTTTTATGCATCTTCATATTCTTTACTTATATTTCTAAAATTCCAATGGCCCTACCCTGGTAAGAGGTGATTCTGTTGAGGCCGGTCCTCAACAACAGTTGACATGAGCTAGTGGGAGGTCACAGCCTCTGGACTGACAGATGTGGAGCCTGCATGGGTCCAAACTAGGCCCTCTGAATTTGGGTGACAGTTGTGTGGCTTGATCTGTTTGTGGGGCCCCTGGCAGTGGAACCAGGACTTATATGTGAACTGGCTTTTTAGAGCCCATTCCCTATGATGGTATACCTTGCTCGGCCTTGATGCAGCGGGGAGGGTATGCCAGACTTTGTTGATGCCCCAAGGAGGCTACTTACCACCTCTAAGGCAGAGATGGAGGTGGAGGAGGGGGAGAATGGATAAGGGGGAGGGAGGGAGAACTGGGGTTGGTATGGAAAATGAAAAAAAAAATATTTGTAGAGTGATAGTTCATTTGTATTTTACTAAATACAGCTTGCCTGAAGATCAGAGAGTAAAACAATCCCACTGGGGTGACACACCTTTAATCTCAATAGCCACACTAGTTTGCCACAGAAACCAGGCAGTAGTGGTGCATGTCTTTAATTCGAGCCCTAGAGAGGAATATAAAGTGGGAGGAGACCCTCTCACACAGTCTCATTCTGAGATTCTTGGAGGCAGGATCACTATTTCGGACTGAGGTATAAGTAAGAGCCACTGGCTGTCTGTTTTGCTTTTCTGATCTTCAGGTTGAACCCCAATATCTATCTCTGGGTTTTTATTAATAACGCTATAAATATTTTTAAATAAAAAAAACACAAATAGGCAAATTAAAAATGGATTAAAAATACAAAACTAAACAGAGTTCTCAGAACAGAAAAAAAACAACTGGATGAGAAACACTTAAGTGCTCAACATCCCAGCCATCAGGGAAATGTAAATCAAACTACTTTGAAATTTCATCTTATTCAGTCAGACTGGTCAAGATCACTAAAACACATGACAGCTTATGCTGGCAAGGATGTGGGGTAAGGGGAAAATTCATCCATTGCTGATGGGAGTACAAATTTGAATAGACACTATGGAAATCAGAGTAGCAATCCCTCAGGAAGCTGAGACTAGATCTACCTCAAGATCAGCTGCACCATCCTTGGGCATACACCCAAAGAACTCTATATCCTACCACACAGGTATCTGCTCATCCACGTTCACTATAGCCCTAGTCATAATAGCCAGAAACTGGAAACAGTCTAAATGTCCATCAACGATTGACTGCTTAACGATAATGTGGTACATTTACACACTGGAATATTATTCAACTGTTTAAAATATAAATTATAAAATATGCAGGTAAATAGATAGAGCTAGAAAAAAAATACATGAATGAGATAACCCAGATGCCAAAAGACAAATTTTGTGTATTTTCTCTTATATGTGAATGTTAGCTTTTAAGCATTCCATAAGTGCGCTACAATCTGTATAACTACAGAGGTTAGGTATGGAGTAAGAGACTAGCTGAAGGGGAGGACTTCCCAAGGAAGGGGAAATAGAATATATAGCGATGGAGAAATAGTGAGGGATTGGCACAGTAGGATTAAACAGGGAGAGAGATGGAAGAGGGGGGTAAAGAAGGGAATACGGGGAGAGACGGCTAATACTAAGGGCTATTTGAAGAGTCGTACGGAAGCCTATTACCATAAAAACATCTTAAAATATGCATATATATGAAAGGAATCTAAATGGAGTCACCAAATAAACGGGGAGACAATGCATCAACTAGACATCTTTTGCCATTAAGTGTAACCTTTACTGCCAGGAATGAGTTACATCTAGTTGAGCTTTTGGCCAAGGGGGTCCCAAAGGAACCCCAAATAACTCAGGCTGTTGCCAAAGCTATTGCCCTCCAGAAACTGACAGTAAGACCTCATTGCTGAAGACAACACAGAGAAGCCCAGCTGATGCCTGACTAGCCTTCACCTCTACCGATTGGTGGCCACGGTACTGGAAGGCACTCGTCATGCTACCAAAGGAGAATGGTAGTCATCAGTCTAGCTAAAAACTCTGTCATCTACAAAGGTGATCTACAGACATGATACCCTGGTGCAATAGTGGCACGAGCACTCTGGGAATAACCAACCACTCTCTGATTGGATAGGCTACAGGCCTACTGTTCTGCTAAAGGAACACAGCAGAAAAAATGGTGCCTGCTATACCCATAGATCACTGCCTGACTTGGCCATCATCAGAGATACTTCCTCTTACAACAGATGGGAACTAACACAGACACACAACTGGACGACAATGTTCAGAGAGTGAGAGACTTTGTAACACTCTGTCCTAAATGGGATGTCTTCATCAACCCCTTCCTTCAGGACTCAGGGAGCTATGCAGAAGAGGAAATGGAAAGACTGTAGATCCAGGAAGGATGGATGACACCACGGAAACAATGTCTTCCGGACACAACATGACTGATGCACGTGAACTCACAGAAACTGTTACAGCACAGGGCCTACACAGCTCAGACCAGATGGGGTCCCAGAGCTGACAGGGGACGTGGACAAGGGCTCCTATCCCTAAGAAGCTATTCTTAACTGACATCTGCCTACATAGAAAAAATTAATTCTCTCCAATGGAATATCACTGGCTATATTTCCCACACTTAAGGGCAGGCTCCATGCCCACCAGTAAATGGCCAACACAAAAAAACTCAATGGTATTTTGTATCATAGTGCTTTATTTTTTATGTGTACATTATAGTTTCTGATTTTGTGGGGGGGGTTGTGAATTTTTCTGTATGTGTGTATGTGTATCTGTCTATGTAAATGTCAGTGTTTATCGAGTTTTTTATTTGATATTATTATTAGTATTATTATTATTATGGCTAGCTCGTTTTGTTTGTCTATTTTCTAAAGAGAGAAAAAAGGGCATGGAGTTGTGTGTGTGTGTGTGAAGGTGGGGAGGATCTGGAAGGAGTCGGGGGAGGGGAAACCATGACCAGAATATATTTTATAAAAAAAACTTTTCAATAGAAAAATGAAATAGAAACAATGAGGAAGGCTTACTGTAATGGTCTACTATGTACAAGTGTATGCTGTGCCTGTGTATATTCACGTTTCCATGTTTGTGGGCACATGTGTCTAGAGTCCAAAGTCTGACATTTGTTCTTCTCTTTGATTGTCTTCTATCTTATAAACTGAACCTGAGTTTCTTATTTGAACCAAGCTTGACAATTTGGCTACTCTGATTAGCCAGCTTGCTGCAGGCATCCCTTGTGTCCACCTGCAGAGTACTGAATTATAAGCAAGGGCCATGTCCAGCATGGGTATAAGGGATCTGGATCTGAATTATGGCCCTTATGTATCAACTGAGACATCTCTTCATCTTGGAAAAGTCTAAAAATGTTAAATACTGATTCTTACTAGTAACTAAACAGAATTGAAAAAAAAAAAAAGAAGAAGCTTTTTTTTTTTCGAGACAGGGTTTCTCTATAGCTTTGGAGTCTGTCCTAGAACTAGCTCTTGTAGACCAGGCTGGCCTCTAACTCACAGAGATCCACCTGCCTCTGCCTCCCAAGTGCTGGGATTAAAGGCCTGCGCCACCACTGCCCAGCTAGGAACATTCTTATTAAACATTTTACTAATATTTGTAACCTCTGTGTACAAACTAAAATCATCACTTTTCCACATTTCACACTAAAAATATTTCTACATTACAAGATGGAATAAATAAGCTATCCCAAACACATCTAAAAAAATAATGTTTAATAAAATTATTTGAATAAAGTTAGTGATATTAGATTAAGTAAGTTAAGCACACCTTGGAGTGGAAAGTGAAATGTTTCCATTTCCCTTTTTGTCAGAAGACATCTCGTCAAGCCCACTTTTTCACAGCCATACTTCTGAATGATGGGGTCATTCTGCAGGTTGATGCTGGGCTTTAAAATGCCAGAAGTTAAAGATCTTCCTGAAACAACAAAGGTAGTGCATGGTGGATCAGAATGTGTAATATCTCAAGGAGGGCCAGCAGGGTGGTTCAGTGGATAGGGTGCTTGCTGCACAAGCCTGGTGATATGCATTCTACCTAGGAATCCACTGTGGAAGGAGGTAACTAATTCCTGGATGTGATCTTTTGACTTCTGTGCATGCTTTGACACAAGTGTGCCTGCAAACATACATACAAACACACACACACACATACACCTCAATAATAACAAAAACCTTACAGGGCACGCTTCTTTTTTTTCGGGGTGGGGGGCGGTGAGACAGGGTTTCTCTATGTAGCCTTTGTTATTCTAGAACTAACTCTGTAGACCTGGCTGGCCTCAAACGCACAGAAATCTGCTTGCCTTTGCCTCCCAAGTGCTGAGATTAAAGATGTGTGCCATCACCAGTTTCTTATACAGGTTAAGCACAGGGAAGGCAAAAAGATATTATGACTCAGCTTCAACCTGAAAAGGGGAGTGTGTGTATGATTTCATATAGAAGCTGGGCATGGTAAGGCATATCTGTGATTCTAGCATTTGGGAGGGAGGCTAGAGGATCTCGATTTCAACTAACTTGGATTACATAGTAAGACCCTTTCTCAAAAACTAAAACAGAACAAACCAAGAACAGAAACAATTAACTCCAAATGTGTTACAACAATAAAGCTTTTTATAAAAGGTAGAGGAAGAATGTGCTTCAGGACTAAAGTGGTCAAAGATACTTTAAGATAGGAAACGAGCTGCCCAATCTTGAGAAAGCAGAATAGAAATAGCTGGTATGGGGGTTGGAGAGATGGCTCAGCGGTTAAGAGCACTGACTGTTCTTCCAGAGGACCCGGGTTCAATTCCCAGCACCCACATGACAGCTCACAAATGTCTGGAAATGCAGTTCCACGAGATCTGACACCTTCACACCAATGCACATAAAATAAAGTTAAATAAATCATTAAAAAACAAATTAAAAAGAACTCAAGCATTCTCTTTATAAAAAAAAAAAGAAAGAAAGAAATAGCTGGTATGTTATACCCTTGTTACAGTGCCTACCCACTTCAAACATCCCATTTTATCTTCACCTACCTACACCTTTTGCCTTCTACTCCATCAACACCAGCTGATCATGTTAACCAGAATTTTAACTAAAAGATAAAGAGAACCAACTACTTTGAAAACTTCCTCTGTTTGATGCTATGAAAAGGGACAGACAGTTCTTCGCTGGAGGTACTTAGCTTCCGGATGGCTTTCTAGTCAACAGGAATCCTCCAAATACTATCCTTTTTGATTAAGATAGACATCTGCTCTCTGCTGCCCCAAAAGCCAATTTAATACAGTAGAAGAGGGCATCACCAAGTTAGACAGGAATGGAAAGAACTTGGCTTGCCAATGACAGGTTAGTAAGAAAGAAAAACATCTACGAGTCAAGTTGAGAGTAGAGATAAAATAAACGATAGACCATTTGAGTGCCAGGGTCAAGAGTTTGAACTTTGGTTCATCACTCAATACATAATGGAGAACAATAAAAACTCCTGATAAGAAAAGCAACAAAATATAAAGAGTATCTTAAGAAATATTAACCTCAAATACTTGTGAAAAATAAAACAGAACAAAAGTAGAAAGGCTCTACAGTAAAACTGGCAAAAGATATTTTAACTAAAGCCTACATAGTAAGAGGGCAAAAGGGATAGGAAGGTATACAAAAGAAATTTTGAACATAAAATAATTCAATTAAGAAAATATTTGAGTGTTTATTGGCATTACTCTAGCCAATGTACATTATAAAATTTGCTATGGAATTTAAGTTCAAATTGGGAAGATGGACAATGAATAATGAAATAAATATTTATAAACAAATACAAATGAATAAATAGTTAATATATCAAGTGGGGATAAGAAGTACAGATAAAAGGAGAGGAAGGGCAGGGTTTACTGGGCAAGGAAAATGTCCGATGTCATGTTTCTATGTCAGGTTTGGTGTCTGTGATAAAGTGGTATCTGAGTAGAGATTTATGAGAGTAAAAGCAATGATCCATGCAGATTAGAGACAGGAAACCAAAATAAAAGGAACTCTAAAATTCAAGTCTGGTGACTAAAGAGAAAAAAATGTACTAACATGGAAACTGAAATAGAAGCCTATTATTTATGGATGAGATAAGATGTTTTTAGCTATGACAGAACAGAGAAGAAAGTTGAATATCCAAGAGACAATATCCAGGAGGCAACTGCTGCAATGAAAGACTATCTGGGACATCAAATCTAGAGATGAAGACACAGAAGTCATATATAGAAAACAGACAGGTAAACTTGAAAAATAAATGAAGACTCCAAAGAAAGGAAGATGAGAGAGCCATGGACTATGCCTTGGGGACTTCAATATACATAGGATGAAAAAAATGAAATAAAATCTTAAGAGAACAGAACAATAATCATAACCTCTCTAGTGCCTTAATAAGTACAGAATAAAATCATTACTCAAACTCAAAGTCTGCAACACACAGTCACCAGCGGCATCCCTGGCTGCTTCTTTCACTACCACCTACTTTCCCCCTCAGCATCCACAATAATCTGTGTCTTTTAGCCTTGTCAACTAAAGACCTTTGTTTGGGCCTCAAATCTTAAAACGATACTATATGATTTATTCAGATACTTGCATGCTAAATCAATACAGCTGCATATATGATATAGGCATCTACTGAAAGAAGAACAACGGAGATGCAGCAAAATCAGAAGATACCACCAAGACGCAGGAAACTAGGAAACACAGTTCAAAAGGAGGTAGGAGAGAACAGCCTGATTAGTCCTACCTGTGTATGCCTCCTCAGTGCAATTATACAGTTACTTAACTATTATTTCTGAACACAAAGAAGTACCATTGGACAATATTTACCTTCACTTTGTCTGAATTTTGATAATTCCTATTCTACAACCCATATTTAAAAAAAAAAAAAAAAGTTAACTGTAACCTAGTCGCAGGACGTTCCCGGGTCTGAACAGCATTGCTGTCATAGGTATATATCTTAAAGCTCTAACTAACTGTACCTGTAGGTCACAACTAAAAGTAGGACCAACTAAATTCCCCATCTGTTCCTCAGTGTGAATAATATTCATGTCCCTTTCATTAGTCAATGGTAAGTTCTTCCTTCCCACATATATCCTAATAGAAACGAAGACCTAGTGACTGCCGAGAGCACAGTAATTAAGAGTTTCAATGTCAGCGATAATCAAATATCCTTAGCTATCCAACTTAACCAGTTTCTGAAGCATGAACCAATGATTCCTGGTATCTACCCTCTCTGGGTTCTTGCTCATTTTAAAATTCTTTCTTTTAAAAAAAGAAAAGAAAGAAGACACCTTTTTGTTTAAGTTGATCAGAACTGAAGATTCTGTTGTTGTTATTGTTGCTTACAAGAGTAAACTTTACCACATCTATGACATCTGTTTACAAGCATCAATAAAAATGGAAGCCATACCTTTAATAGTCCTAGGAAAACCTCTGACTAATTTCTTCCTTTGCAGCCCAATGATATCAAATAGAAAACGGGATGTCGGAGGAGTCAAGCTGAATTTCTGAAAAAAAATATATTAATAAGTTTTTTAAAAATACTTCAAAACAGACAAAATACTCTTAAAGGGCTAGACTTTCACTGTTGGTTCAGACCTTCAAAATAGTCTAGGCTTTAACTATTCATATTATAAAATGAGAACTGTTTCCTTAACATGGGAGAGAGTGAGGAAGTGAAATAAGCCACATTTACAATAAAATCTCCACCTGGAAATTGTTCCTCTCACTTCACACTGTAAAAAGTCGGCAGAGGAATTTACAAGTTCAGTGTTCTCAGGGACTTCTAATTCTTTATGTCACTAGACAGCATATCAGGTAATCAGGATAGATGATATAGGAGGTACCTAGGTTGAAAGCTCTAGCTATAGGCTCATCTGGGCTAAAATTCCAATTCTACAATTTATTAGTGGTTAACTTTGGTGAGCTACTCACTTTCTTAAACATGAAATAGAATAAAATTCCTCTTACAGGACAACATGGTCATTATAGATGATAAACATAGCATTACTAATACATGACTAGGCATATAAAAAGTACTCAATAAAATGGAAGCAAAAGAGAATCAAGACCCAGATAGATTAGGGCTGATGGACTCAAATACCTTCAGGAATATATGGACAAGCAGGCCAGAGGGAAATAGGGCAGGATATAAAACCAACAGTACATGCCTTTTTTTTTTTTTTTAGTTGTCCTGGAACTCACTCTGTAGACCAGGCTGGGCCTTAAACTCACAGAGATCCATCTGCCTCTGTCTCTCGAGTGCTGGGATTAAAGGTAGACACCAGCGCCACCATCACCCAGTGCACATACTTTTCTTTCTACATGGCAGGTGCTATTGAGCTCCAGATAGTATTCTATTGACCCCCAATTTTTAAAATTTTTCTTAGATTGGTTTTCTTTTTGCTTTTTTTGTTTTTAAACAGGTCTTGCACCCATGCAGGATTCAAATCCTTCTTACTTGCCTTCCATCTGTTATAATTACAGCTATGTACCTCCATGCCCAACATCATGATTTAAGAGAAGTACAAATTTTATGTGAATTTTGCAATTTATAAAAATTCCATATTACAAATAAAATAGAATCAACATAGAAGCTATATACTATAATTGGAGAGTAACTGTTTTTGCTAGATTATCAAAGAAAAGCACAGACAAATCTAATCTAAACAGAGCCCTTAGTACTTCTGCTGTCTATATACCCTTCCTGCCTTCCTGTGTTGTTTAACTAGGTTATTGACAAACATTCTCAGACTGATGCCCTAGCCTCAGGATAGGAGCTCTAACTTAGCCCCTAATACAAAACTTTCTTATCTTACATGTCTGAATGTCTTTCGAAGAAATCTGAATTCCAAATAGAACCTGTAGAAGTGTAGCTGACTCATGCCCTTCAGAATAAAAACCACCACGTTGTTTAGGTGGTTTTGGTGTAAAAGTTGGCACCAGCTGTTGAAAAAAAAAAAAAATCAAACCAACACACAGCTAAGATGATAATCTCAGTTACAGACACATAGAAGACAAGCAGGAAACAGTGACTGACAACCAATAAAACTTCAACCACTGACCCTCTCTGACTCACTCTATAACTGGAAGACAGCCCTTACTTCAAAGAATTCAAATAAAAATCTTTGTAATAAATATTCGTTATAATTAAATGTCGAGTGAAAGTCCTACTAACGCTTATTTAAAACTTTAATTACCCTTATTTTGTGTGTGTCACAGGATGGAAGTTAGAGGACAACTTAGGGCAGCTGGTGTTCTTCCACCCGAACATTTACTTTAAATTAGAACTCCGAGCTTATTCTACAAAGGTTTGTCTCCAACATATTCTGTAACCCCACCTAAGCCAGAACATCAGATGAGGGCTGAAATCAATGGCAGTCTTTCTCTCTCTCTTTCTTTTTTCTTTTTTTTTTTTTTTTTTTTTTTTTTTTTGAGATAGGGTATCTCCACATGAGCCCTGGCTATCCAGGAACTCACTATGTAATCTAAGCTGTCCTCAAACTCAGATATCTGTCTGCCTCAGCCTCCTGAGTGCTGAGATGTGCCACTAGGCCCTGCCAGATGGCAGTATTTCATGACAAAGAAGATGGTTCTAAAAAAATCTAGACAATTTATAACAACCTACCTCAGAGAAATGTGTGCTAATCTCTTGATAAGTATTGTGCTGGATAGTTTTATGTCAACTTGACACAAACTAGAGTAATCTGAAAGGAGGGAACCTCAATTAAGAAAACACCTCCCTAAGATCCTCTATAAGCATTTTCTTAATTAGTGATTAATGGAGGAGGGCCCAGCCCATTGTAGGTGGTGCCATTCTTGAGCTGGGAATCTTGAATTCTATAAGAAAGCAGGCTGAGCAAGCCAATAAGCAGCACCCCTCCATAACCTCTTCATCAGCTCCTGCCTCCAGGTTCCTGACTTGTTTGAGTGTAGGACCATATTTCTACATGTTATGGCAACCAAAATCTCAGGCCACAGTTTGCACCTGCTGCACAGGAGGTCATCACCTAGCCTGTTGCCATCCCTAACAAAGGGTCAGGATGTTGTTCTGCTCCTTCTTTGTAATTTGGAGGATGCCTAAAAGAGATGTTAATTCGGCCTACATGACAGGGCTGGCATACAGAGCAGGAAGGCGTGACAGAGCAGGCATAGGTAGATGTGGCCATGACCACAACCATTTACCATCTGGTGACCTAGGAAACAGAATGCTAATGAATTTCCCCCTCATTTATGTTTTGGGATATAAGGCTGTTTGGAAAATAAATGCAGAGAAATTTTCAGGATGTGAACTCAAAATTTCATGAGGGATCACTGAAAATCTCCCTCCCGATAAAGCCATGTGAGTTGTCTCAATTATTCCCACACCTCCCCTCTGGTCCAGAGAAATTATTTAGGGTCCAGGCTGGCACTGGACCCCGACATTTGAGTTCCTATTCTGACTTCATTCAGTGAGGTACTATGATATGGAAGTGTAAGCCAAATAAACTCTTTCCTCCCCAAGTTACCTTGGTCATGGTTTTTCATTATAGCAACAGAAACCCTAACTAAGACAGGCATAAGAAATATAATTTTCATAAGTCATTCATATCACTGACAGCATTCAAATAATATCATCTCTTTGTTCTTTATAAAAAAAGAAATGACTAACCAGAATTATTAAGATAGCATAACTTTATAATAAAAAAACAGTAAGTAATGTGATTCCTATCGAGTTCATATCATAGCAAACTACAGTATCTATATAGCCAGACAGATATATAATGAATGATAAGTATGCCAGATGGGACAATAGAGTATATACACCTCAGCCTTGACAAATATGTTGACTGTTAGGAGAACAGAGATGGTTACCAGATTTTTAAGTTCTTTGAAGAAATCACCAACCTGAATTTTTATACAGAAATTCCCAAATAATTATTGACAGCTGTTACTTAATTAAAAATGAATATGATGTATGGTTAACAAATATCAATAATCTACAAACCAGTTTGAAACCTCTGGCCTATGCACAGTTTATCTCATACCTGGGTTCAGGAGTGGATTTACCCAGAACTGCATACTTCAGCAACTCACACAGCTGTTTAGGGGTTATTACATCATTTTCAGCAAATAAAATGGAAGATAAGCGAGCTTTCTGTAAAGAAAAATTAGAATACAGCACACTGTAATACTCATCATTGGCAAAAAGGCAATTATTCAAGTTTCTGATATTTTAATATATATATACAAGTACAAGGATTGCTCTAATTAATTGAAAATAAGGTCTAAAAGAGCCACTTGTGGTATGATGTCATTAGTAGAATATTTTATAGACATTGGTACAGTTTGTGTATTATGCATGCCTGTGTGCTAAAAATAGTAAGATTACAATACAATTCATGCTTTCAAGAACTCTATTTTATTACGGAAAAATATGATGGGTAATTCTAACACTGCAAGGGTCAGTGCTATTATAAATACATAGGATCAAGAGTGTATTTGCCCTAGGGTTTATCACGGTGGTTCTCAACCTTTCTAATGTTGTGACCCTTTAATACACCTCCTCATGTTGTGGTCACCTACAACCATAAAATTATTTCATTGCTACTTCATAACTGTAATTTTGCTACTATTATGCATCATAATGTAAATATCTGATATGCAGATGGTCTTAGACGACCCCCATGAGAGGGTCATTTGACCCCCAGGTTAGAACCATTGGTTTAGAGTGTTATATCAGTGCTAGCCACCAACACACCTTAAGTACTTAATAAATATCAGATATTAACTACTAATTTCTTCATGGTTGTACTGGCTAGGGACTGAATCGTAAGCGCCTATCTAATAGGGATGCTTGCAGAGCCTGTTACAATAATGTGGGCTCTTCAAACGTATTTGATCTGGAACAGAGCAGGGCAAAGATGTGGTGAACAGGAGGTGGTGATAGTGATTAAGAGTTAAACATTGGAGATAATAGTTGTATTTCTATCAGAAAAGGAAGCTGCAGATATGAAAAAGGAGGAACTACAAAGAGCTTTGACTAGAAATAAGTTGACTGGAAAGCATGCATTTAATGTGAATTCAGGAAACTAGTTGTAAATGCATGTTTGTATATATTTACAACACACAAGCATACCCATTAACATGACCTTTTGGGACTACTAGCATAAAATCATCTACAATACCACCACTTAAAATATGCAAATGCCAACCAGGTGGTGATGGTGCACGTCTTTAATCCCAGCACTCAAAAGGCAGAGGCAAAAGAATATGTGTTTGAGGCCAGCCTGGTCTACAGAGCTAGTTCCAGGACAACTAGGACTGTTACACAGAGAAACAACAAAAACAAAAAACAAACAAATTTACAAAGCCATTCTCCACTAAGAACCAGGCTGATTCCAGGGACCTGGGACAGAGAAAGCAGATACCCCTTCTCACCAGAAAGCAATGACCTGCTCAGAGTGATACAGTCATGTCATAACTCAAAAGCAAGTTAATAATCAAATCTTGGCTATTCAGAGAATCAGAACACATAGCCAGAGGGGGAGATGACTCAGCAGTTAAGAGCAAGGACTGCTCTTCCTGAGGACCCACTTCATCCTTGCATCCACCTAGTGACACACCAGCAGCTATAACTCCAGTTTTAGACGATCCGTCGCCCTCTGCTGGCCTCCTCGGGCATCAAGCACACACATAGTACAGACATGCATGCAAAGCACCAATAGACATAAAATAATTTTGAAAATAATAATCTAAAAAATAAATAATAAAGTCTGGTAGTATAGAACAGTAATCTCAGTTACTGAGGAGGCATGAAAACCACAAGTTCAAGACCTACTGGGCCACAGGACAACTTGAAAGTTGAGCTTGACAACTTAGTGAAACAGGCTCAGAAAGAAAGAGCAGGGGTGTGTGTGTGTGTGTGTGTGTGTGTGTATATAGTTCAGGTGTAGAGTACTTGTCTATTGTGCTCAAGGTTCTAGATTCGATACCCAGCACCAAAATAAATAAATTAATTAATTAACAAATGATGGCTCAATGAATAGATTATCTGTGAATTCATACTGATAAACTGAAGTGACTTAAGAATTCTCTACAGAATTATGAAGGGCGTTTTAGACAGGTTGGCAGACACCATCTTACTATGTTAAGTAATCAGGGGAATGGTCAAAACATCATATGCCAACTGCAAGAGAAGACTATCACTTCTGTGCTAGTTCTGCAAAGATGTGTGACCTCAGTCCCATCAACAAAGAGACAAACACTCAAGGGACATTCTACAAAATAATTGATCCAGAATTCCTCAAAAGAAAATAAAGTCATGCCGGGCGGTGGTGGCGCACACCTTTAATCCCAGCACTCAGGAGGCAGAGGCAGGCGGATCTCTGTGAGTTCGAGGCCAGCCTGGTCTACAAGAGCTAGTTCCAGGACAGGCTCCAAAACCACAGAGAAACCCTGTCTCGAAAAACATAGATAGATAGATAGATAGATAGATAGATAGATAGATAGATAAAGCCACAAATGTCAAAAGACTATTGGAGTTGAAGAAGAAAGATATTAAAAAGTTAACATAATTCTACACTGGACCACACGCTAAAAAGCTTAATCAATCTTTTTAAAGAAACTTGGATGGGCTCTGAGAATTAAGTGGCAGCAATACATTCATGTTCATTTCCTTATTTTGATGGCTGTGTTGTGATTATGTAGGGCACCGAGGAAATAAAAACACCCAAATGGGAAAAATGCAGTCCCATATGGGCCGGCAACTACGTTCCACTGTTGGCTAGGGCAGCTTTTAGTACTGCTTTGCAACTTTTCTATAAAGTTTTTAAGTTTTAGGTGGAATTGTCAATATTCTTGTATTTCTTTTTTATGGCTAATCTGGTAAGTCGTAATTATTCCATTTTAATAAAAGAATTGGTGACACTAATTCCTTTCTAACATAGCATACAACTCAAATGTTCTGGCTCCTTACTAGAATGTAGGCTGTAGTAAGGCAGTAATTTTTATTTATTCCTTGATACACCTCACGTGCCTAGGTCACACTGCCTTGGGCACATGACAAAGAATGAAAAACACCTGGCGATTGGCCGCTATTTATTTAGCGGTTACTAAATATTAGGAACGTCAATCAATACGCCCAGCAAGAATGCAAATTGTATAGAGGCAGAGAATTCTGTTTAGGTGGAAAGGATATTCCTGAAACATTCCTGTTACACACATCTTAATAAATATTCTGTGTAGAGGACAGTAAATCAGGTTGGGGTTTTTGTTGTTGTTGTTGTTGTCTGAGACAGGGTTTCTCTGTGAAACTGCCCTTGCTATCTTGGAACTAGTTCTGTAGACCAAGCTGGCCTCGAAAACACAGAGACCCGCCTGTCTCTGCCCGCTGAGTGCCACCACCGCCCGGCTGGCTGCTAAGTTATCCCTCTTTATAGACCAGAGACGGGGTTCGGGGAAGTCAGTGGGTCGGTCAGCCCGGATCCCTCTGCAGGAACCCCACAGACGGCGGGGGCACGGGACTCGAGCAGCACACGACTTGGGCCTCCTGCCGGGCTCTCCTTTGTTCACCTTGGCTTTAGGCTCCTGGTCCTCAAGATCCGGCTCCGTCGCCAGGGCCGAGTTAGGGGTCCCCTTCCTCTTCCTGGAGATCGTCTCCGTCTCCGTCTCCGTCTCCGTCTCCGTCTCCATCTCCATCTCCGTCTCTAGCTCCATCAGGCTGCAGGGAAAGATCGGCTGCAGCTGCGGTGACCAGGGCACCGGTGGAGCGCGGGAGAGGGAGACGGTTCTCAACTTTCTCCCCTTGACGCAGCTCAGGCCCGTTTACCGCGCTTCGCCCGCCCGCGCAGAGATTTCCCTCAGCGAGGGGTTGGAAACGCTACCTGAAGCGCGTCGGGGGCGGAGCGAGGCTGCTCGCCCTCCCCAAGCCTCCGTCTCCGCCCTCCAGGTCCCGAGCCGCCTCAGGCGCGCCCCTCCGCCCGCTGACAGCCGCCGCCGCCGCCACCACAACACTCGGACCGCTCAGGCGCGCCGGCGTTTAAACGGACCGGAAGGGAGGGCAGCCGACTTCCGGCCGTTGGACTCTGAGGAGCAGAGGGTCTGGCATGGCGACCAAGCGGCTTGCACGGTACGCTAGGGATTTCACCACGGAGGGTTGGCGGCGGTCATCCGCAGGCGGCTCGTCTGGGTCTGAAAAAGGCCGGCCTCGGGCCCCACGCCGCCATCCTCGCTAGGCTGGAGGAGCCCGAGGAGCCGGGTTCTGGGGCGGCGTGCCGTTTCGGATCTGGGAAGCCCCTGGAATGGGACTGTGCTGTGCAGATTGTTCGCGGGCAGGTGCCAATGCACCCACTGCGTCCGAGCCAGCTGTCTAGCCCGATTTTATTGTAAGAATTACAGCGGACGCTGGATTTTTGCACACGCTCTGAGGTTTGTCGACACAGCGCTCGCCTACAATACCAGCGAAGGAAGCTCGAGGCTAGCCTGGTCTGTGAGGAAATGTTGGGGCAGGCCCGAGGCCCTATAACCAGACTGTCTCAAAACAACAACAGAACCAAATCCAAAACAAAGAAAAAGCAATGTGATGTTAGTGAATAGCATGGATTTCAGGGTTGGAGAGCCCTACCAAGGGTTAACCTACTATGGCCATCAGTAGCAAATTACCTAGTTTTCTCATGCATAACATACAAAGATATCTACCGCCTAGACTTGTTTAAAAGAGGTCACCACCTTAGTTTTTAATATTTGCTGATGAAGTAATAAATGTCAGCTTTTAACCCCCAGAACTCTATACTGACATCACATCTTGTCTTTTTCAAAAAGCCAAAACTCCAGTTATCTGCTAGTTAAAGCTGTACTCATCAGGTTTTTGTCTCACCTGCATCTGAGCCCATGGTTAACCCTGTTAGTCCTCTTCTTTGGATCCAGTATCTTGCTATTGGGGGTCTTTCATCATAGACTGCCTTCTAGTCAAACTCAGGTTATCTTACTTCCTCACCTAGATTTTTTAACTTTAGGAACAGGAGTCATCATCGCTTTAGAACAGCAAGGGCTTGAAAAGTAGTACAGCAGTAGCTAAAGGTTTTTAACCGTCTTTGCACAACTTTGAGTTCCTCAGTGCTGCTATAAAACAAGAACAGGCCAAATGAGTGTTTGGCAATAGTCCCTGGAAGCCCGTGGACATCCAAGAGAGGATGGCACTTAGCCAAGAGTCCCGATCTTGTAAAGTCTACACGGCTGCTGTTTGAGACAGGGACTTGATGTGTATGCTAACCTGTTCTTAAACTCGCTTCTCCCTTGGCCTGCTGAGCACTGAGCTTACAAGTGTGTGTCCCCACACCCAACTCCAATTATAGTACCTTGATGAGAATTTTACCATTTGTTCAGTTCAGTTTGATAGCTGATTCTAACTGGAATATAAATGGATTTATTGCTCTCTTACTGGATTTTGTATTTTTAGGCGGCTTGGATTAATTAGGAGAAAGTCAGTTGCCCCAGCAAGTGGGAATCCAGGAAGAAGCAGATTCAGTAAGTCCCATGTTTTGTTTTCATTTGGAAACCTTGAACTTGGAACGTGTACTAAGAACACTTTGGTCTTTTTGCAGAACAGGTGTATGACTACTTAATTGTCATTGATTTTGAGTCCACATGCTGGAAAGATGGGAAACAACACAGGAGTCCTGAAATAAGTAAGTTTGGACTGCCAGTGTCCGAAGCTAGTGCTCAGTGAGTCTTCTTAAAGTTCCTAGATATGAATCAGCCAATAAGAAAGCAGGATGCCAGAAGCTGGTAGTTTAATATAAACACTGTGTTGCCTAAAAAAAGGATAAAATGCCAAATACCTGAATGTGATCATGCAAAGTAGCTAGTTGTTTTAGGATTATATTTAAAACTTTGACTGGATAGAAACTGAAAAATGGCTTTGCAATAACAGAGTACATTTTAACTCTTGTAGTCTTCATATTTAGTTGTGAAACCAAACAGACACATAACTTTGAGGTTTTGACTTATTCCTTGACCTAGCTTTCTTAAAACTTTGTTTCTCACGGCTTTGGCTACTCTAAGAAGTTTTTACTGTCATTGATCGTTTACTAGTGACTTTCTGAAGCAGTGCATGCTTAGGAAGATTTGCATATTCAGGCTGGGTGTTGTGGTACACACCCTTAACCCCAGACTCAGAGGCAGAGATGAGGGGCGTGTCTATGAGTTTGAAGCCATCTTGGTCAGTGCTTCTTCAACCTTCCTAATGCTGTGACCTTTTAATACAGTTCCTCATGTTGTGGTGACTCCAGCCATAAAATTAGTTTTGTTTGTCCTTCATAACTACTTTTACTACTGTTATGATTTATAATATAAATATTTGGTATCCAGAAAGGAATTCCGACCCACAGATTGAGAACCGCTGATCTATATTGATTCCAGACCAGCCAGGACTATAAATTGAGACCCCATAAATAAATAAACAAGCAATAAATAAATACAATATATTTAGGTATTAATCTATGATTCTTTCAATAGTTGAATTTCCAGCAGTTTTGTTGAGTACGGCAACTGGAGAGATTGAATCTGAGTTCCATGCTTATGTTCAGCCTCAGGAGCATCCAGTTCTTTCTGAATTTTGCACAGAACTGACAGGGATAAAGCAGGTATGATGCAAATTTTAAAAGTTCAGAAATAAGTTTCAAAAAGAAGAATAAAAGTTATATAACACTTGGGATTAAATTTTTTCAGTGTTAAGAGAAATTATGTCCCCTCTGAACGTTTATGGCATTTTGAAAATATCAGAATAATGCTAGAAACATAAAGGTCAGGGGTTGTAGCTCTGTTTAGGGGGCTCACCTGGTATGCGGGAAGCCCAGGGTTTGGGCTCCAGAGAAACAGTTTATTTTGCAGAGTAACATTACTCAATGTCTTTTATTTCTGTGAGACTGGACTTAAAGTGTATACTTCTGTGAAACTCTGGCGTACCAACCTCGTTTCTCTCAAGTCACTGTAGTGTTTCTCGCCTGTAATCTCAGCATGTTTGTACTAGGTAAACTGTTTGTCAGTCAGAACCTCTCTTAGTTCTGTTCCCCCATAGTACAGAGTTGTAATAAATGCTCAGTAGCTTAGAAGTTCATTTGTTAAAACAGATTTTTGGCTCTCCAATCAGGTTCAAGTTGATGAAGGAGTCCCTCTGAAGATTTGCTTATCTCAGTTCTGTAAATGGATTCAAAAGATTCAGCTGCAGAAGAAAATCATTTTTGCTCCTGGGGATTCGGAGCCTTCTCCTTCTGAAGTAAAATTGTGTGCTTTTGTTACCTGGTCAGGTAAAACCATGAGTTATGATTGTAAGTCCCGGTGGGTAGCATTGAGGCTGAGGAGGTGGCTCAGCAGATACCAGTCTTGTTACACAATCATGAGGACCAGAATTGAGATCCTCAGAACCCACATAGAAGCCACATGGGCACAGTGTTCTATCTATAATTCAGGAACATAGGTTCAGACAAGGAATCCCCAGAGCAAGCTGGCTAGTCAGAGAGCTAAAACAGCAAGTCTGAGGCTCAGTGAGGAACTCTGCCTCAATAGATTAGGTGGGAAACAGTTGATTCCTGATGGCCGCCTTACCTCTGCATATATGTACACATGCAGGTCCACATATACCTTCACCCCCACACTTGTGAACATGTGGCACATACATACCACATATACATATGCCCCACTTACCAAAAGAGCAGCATTACCACTATGTAGTCCTTTATTTCCAGTTTTAGTCTTCTTAACCTAGAACCTCATTGACCTGGGGAAGAAAATCAAGGGCCACATAGGTACTAGCCAAGAAAAGTAAATTCATTCATATTTTTAAAATCTCGATTCTCCAGGCCAATAAGAAACCCTGTCTCAAAATAAGATGGGTAGCACTTGAGTGATCGCCTGAGGCTGTCCTCTGATCTGCACACCTGCTCACTTGCACCAGCACACAAGCACACCCACACACCTACGCACCTGCACACACGCAGAAGATATCATTTTGAAACAGTCAACTTAATTTCTTAATGGTGAGTTATATAAGATGTAAAATAATATAGACTATATGAGCATTAGTTATTAGCATAGCAGTTATATCTCACTGCTCTCCTACATCTTGTCTTGTATATTTTACTTGTAAATGGCAACGCGCTGACATCGCTGACTTTTCATGCCCTTAATGCAGACTGGGACTTGGGGGTTTGCCTAGAATATGAGTGTAGAAGAAAGCAGCTGCTAAAACCCGGGTTCCTGAATTCTTGGATTGATCTCAGAGCAACTTATAAGGTAAGAATCAAAGATGGGAACATGTTCACTGTGTTTTTGTTGAGAAGTAGTTATATTTTATCTTATTGGTATGAATTTCTACAATAAGGTATTTTTCTTTTGGAATGTTCACATAAATAATAAATCCCAAATTTGATAGAACTATAGGAAATAACTTCATAGCCTTTATAATCATTATATTTTAAAATATGTCTTTTTTTTTGTTTAATTAGCTTTTTTATAAGCGAAAACCCAAAGGACTAAATGGTGCGTTGCAGGAAGTGGGAATAGAATTTTCAGGACGAGAACATTCTGGTTCGTATAAACTGATAATCATTTTGTAAGTCATTTGAGTTTTGCAAAATCTTTCATATTAGTTTCATGTAGGGAGTAGTGCTTTTTTTTTTTTTTTTTTTTTTCAGTTTTTTGAGACACTGTTTCTCTGTGTAACAGTCCTGGCTGTTTTGCAGCTCACTCTTGTAGACCATACTGACCTCGAATTCCCAGAGATCCGCCTGCCTCTGCCTAGCATTTTTGAATTTGAATTTAGATAAAGATCACCATGTAGTACTTCTGGATGGTTTAAAAGTAAATAGATAAATAACGAGCACATGAAATAGAGACACAAGTGCCCGGATAATATGATGCTCTAGTGAAAAGAACTGAACACGACTATTTTTTTTTTACAAACAATGGTTTGTACGGAATGCTGATCACATTTTTGGAAGCTGTCTAACAAATTCTCACCTGTGTAAACACAAGCCCTGGTGTATGGTAATGCTGTCACAATTTCCCACAGACCGATTTATGATTTTTTTTTTAATTCAGTAGGTGGTTACAAAACTAACAATGTACCCCAATTTCTGTTAAATGTGATTTGTTTTTTATTTCCTTATGTTAGTTCTACAACATTCAGTGTTTGATATTGTATGTCCTCAGGCTTAGATGATTCTCGGAACACTGCTCTTCTTGCTTGGAAAATGATCAGGGATGGTTGCCTAATGAAAATTACCAGGTCCTTGAACAAGGTTGGTGTGTTATTTTAAGCTCTAGGGTAGTAATCATAGGTTCATTAGAATGTTGATTTCAAACCAGTGGCATTCTCCTCCCCTCATATGTAATGTCTACTGAAGGAATTATACAGTTTCTAAAGCAGTGGATTTGTCTGTGGAATCATAGGTTCTCACTAAGAGGAATCCGAAGATTTTGGTCAGAAATTTGGGCACAGATCAAGCTGAAGAAACATCTGCTTGCAACACTAACATCCAGGGTCCCAGTGTACATCAAAAGGAGCCCAAAAGTACAGTAAATACCCAGGAAAATGCTCAAATGAATTTAGTTTCTGTGAATTCCTCTATACAGGACCAGTTACAGCTAAAGACCAAATCAGGTCTTCACAATATCAAATGTGGCTTAACTTCTTCCACTTCTAAGCCCTCGACCTCTGTGAAACAACTGTGTTCTCCCACCTTGAATCCACCTCTCTTTATGCAGAAGCAAAGAATAAGTGAACAGTTTGCACTGAATGACACTTCAAGGTCCTCGGCACTTAACTCCAACTTGGTACTTGTGTCTACGACCATTCCATCTGTTAATGTTGTTTCTGATGGAGAAGTGGGTTCTACTGTTGACTGTTTACCTATGTTGACTGAGTGGGAAGATGTAGTTTTACTGCCAGCATCTCAGGCTGAACAAGATAAAGATTGTGTGTCTCATGTTAGTAACACAAATGTAGAGACTTCATTTAATTCTGGAGAGAGATCAATAGTTTTAGAAGAACCAGAAACCCTTAGTTATGAAAACTTTGACGATCTCAAGGAAACTCCTCAAAACTTTGAGACGCCTAAGTCTGTTGTGTATAAGAGTCCTCACAGTACAGTCTATAATGTAAAAGAAGCCAAACATCCAAGTTCAGATGCTTCTGCTTTTAAATTGCCCGAATGCAAACCATTTACCATCAACAGTCTTAATGCCAATGCCTCACATCCTTCGGTTTTGAGGAAACAACCTCTTCTTTTAGGTGGTACTAAAAGGAATTCATCTAGTCCCCCAGCTTTCCCACTAGCTAAAAAGCAGACCTTCACTATTCATGATGAAAAGTCTGCATCATCTCCGTGCTCCCCAGGAACTTCTTCCCGGAAAGTTCTTTCCTCTGTATTGACATCCACAGTTAACCTACAAGAGCCTTGGGAGAGCGGGAAGATGACACCTCCCTTATGCAAGTGTGGCAGAAGGTCTAAGCGGCTTGTTGTTTCCAATAATGGGCCAAACCATGGGAAAGCCTTCTACTGTTGCCCTGTTGGGAAGTTCCAAGAAGACAGAAAATGCTGCAGTTATTTTAAATGGGAAAAAACACTTCAAAAGGAAAGAGCCAATAGCAGAGCTCTGTCTCGTTCCTCAGGACTCACTTTCAGCTCTCCAGAAACAAGTCATATTCATGATAGAAATTTAAGTTTTCCTATTAAAAATTCCTTACGACTCAGACCTTCAATGAGAAATTGATAAATTCTCCTCTGAACTAAACTGTCTTTTACTTCAGTATAAGCTTCATGTGACTTTTATACTGGAAAATAAAAGTATCAGGGTCAAGTTTCAAGGTCTCAGTATTCCTGCAACCACAGCTACACTGGAGCAGTTCACACAGAGGGGAAGTAATTTGAATGACTTTTACTCTTGCCCAGTAGTTTTCTGACAACTGTCCCTTGTCTGTTCTTGTAGGAATCCTCATTCCCTAAATTCTCTAATGTGTATTTGGATAATGTCACAGAACTATATTTCATATATTAACATTTGTTGAATTTTTCAAACTATCATGAGCCACAAGAAAAAAATACTTTTATAAACCATATTTATTTACTAAGTAGCCATAGCACATGACAGCTTTCTCTTATAGACCTTGAAGCAAATTTCAAGCTATTTTTAAATTACTTGAGTGAAAATATGACTAATAAAATTCTTATTCAACTTTTAGGTAAATATTCTAAGAATTATGACAATTTTCTAAAAACAAGTCACTTAGTTTTTTTAAGAGCTTTAATATTTGTTCTGATTTGTATATTAACACATTAGAATTATTCAATTAAGTTTTGAAAACCAGTGGAGTAGAAATTTGATTTAGAAACTTTCCCTAAAATAGTTTTAAAACCTCTCAGCACCTGATGACCTTTGTTTATGTTGCCAAATTGCAGAAACATTGAAGTGAACACAGAAAGATTCACTATTTGATTTCAGAATTCAGCCTCTAACGTCATTACTAAAAAGTACTTTAAATTCAGTTTAGAAGCAATTTGCCCATATAACCTGTGGTTCCTGCAGACGGTAGACACTGAATTTGTTTATAAGTATCTGAATAATTAGTGGATGAATTTAAATAGTTTTCCATTCTTTTTTCCTCAGTTCATTTCTTTTGACCTTCCCACTGACAGTCTTTGGCAGTTCTTCAATGAATTCCACCTGTTGGCAGTAAGGGGGAGGAAGGAAGTTAGTCCCGCACAGCTCTGCTTTGACGGCTAGGTGAAGGGATGGTTGAAGTTTTTCTTTACATTTAGCATTATGAGCTAATTGACTAAAGTATATTAGGGGCTTCATTTTATCTCAAAATTTTTTACTGTCTATTGTCATTAGTTCTGTTGGGAACCTTTTGTATAGCATGTTTAAGGGGAGAGGTCATTTTAAAAAGGAAAAAACAAATAGCCAAACCTTTTCCAAAGCACTGAACAAATGCAGGTGAAGCAAGGCTACCCACCTTTCTGGGGTATTTGTAAGGCGCTGTAGTCTTTTTCACGTGCTCCTGAATCTCCTTTTTCAGTTGCTCTTGATCATGTGACTTATAATCAGGATTCAGAACAATAAAAGCCTTTACTACCTAAAGTAAATATATGTAAACCATCAGTGAGTTATGTGTTTGGTGCCTTAATGTGTCTTGTCTGCTTTCATTCCCTGTAAATCTTCCTTGTGGGGCGTGAACTGTTGGGGGGTCACGGTGTAGTTTAGCCCCGCTGTGTGCTCATGCTCCTAAGTGCCCAGGAAAGCCTTTAGTCTTCTCAGTACCACGGAGCTGGTGGGGCCTGCTTTGCTCAGGATCACCCTTGAACCCTGCTCTGACTGTATTTTGTAATGTGTGTTCTGATCTGAATTCGATTATCTCTGTCCTTGGCTTCCCCTTAGAAACACGAAGTACAGTTAGTACCTGAGTACTAAAGGCAATGCACCCAGTACCACCTCTTCTAGGCCCTACTCAGCCTAGCCCCCATGGCAGGGAGCAGCTCACTCAGGCCAGGCATTCTTTGGGGGATTTTGAGACAGTCATCAGTGTATATCAGGCTGGCCTTGACCTCACAGCGGTTCTCCTGTCTCAGTTTCCCAAGTACTGGATTAGATTACACTACTCTACTTGGCTTACTTTTTTCCTCCCCAATAAGGATTGAACCCAGAGACTTGTGCACACTCAACGAACATTCTACCTCTGAGCACCTAGCTACACACACCCAGCCCTTTTCATACATCCTTATGTAAGGCTGTAATGATTCCATTAGTCACGACACTATGTTCTGACCCACATGCATGACCGAGAAGCAGGAGTAGAAATGATGATGGCTGTTGCTATACCCACAAATCCCATTTCCTAAAGCCCATTCTTTCTATACTGTTTTGGGAGATCTGCCCAGAGTTTTAGGACCTTTAATGGAGAAGGAAGAAGCTTGATTGGATCCTGTCTAATTGTTTTTTCTTTCCTGGGCACTACCAACACTTCCACTCACTGCTTCCACCCCAAATGCATACCTCTAGAGAGGCAATCAGTATTCACTGCCAAATCCAGAGTCCCAACATGAGCTAGAGTCCAGACAGGCCCTTACAGGACTAAGTACCCTTTACTTTGGAAACTATCTTAGTTTTTCAAAACAGGGTTTCTCTGTGTTGCCCTGGCAGTCCTACTACTTGCTCTGTAGACCATGGTGTCCTCAAACAGAGATCCACCTTTGCCTCCCAAGTGCTGGCTAGGAAACTGGAATCTTATTAATTTTACTTTCTGCATCCTTTAATCTGAGAGGAAAATTTAATCAAAAATTATTTGAAACAGTCACTTAGAAAAGTCATTTGGTGGGCTGGAGAGATAGCTCAGAGGTTAAGAGCAACACTAGCTATTCTTCCGGAGGACCTGAGTTCAATTCCCTGCAACCACATGGTGTGCCTCCCAGGTACCTATAATGAAGTCTGGCGCCCTCTTCTGGCACACAGGCATACATGCATGCAGAACACTATATACATAATCTTTTTTTTTTAAAAAGTCATTTGGTAAGAATTGACAACTTGTAACTAAAAATTTTTCATGTTGAAAATTGTTTACCATAAGTGAAGTGTTTTTTTAAACAATTTATGACCAGTTACCCTTTTTGTCTTTATCAAAAACCCTTTTGATATCATGTTGATATCACCCGTAAGATTATGCAGCTATCATGTGTTTCTTGTGAGTAGAATTTTATCCTATTATGTTTTTGTTACTTTTGCAACTTTATGAACATTTTTATTAACTGAAAAAAAAAACCATTTACAGGCTTTGGTTTCTATGTTAACTTTTATAGCTTTTATAACATGTACTTATCTTCCTAAGTCTTTATAAGCCATTACAGAAAATACTAACTTCACGAAAAATATTGTAACATTATGCTTAAAGGGTATGGCCACTGAGCTGGGCAGTGGTGGCACAGATGTTAAATTCTAGCACTCAGGAAGCAGAGGCAAGCAGATCTTTGAGTTCCTAACCAGCCAGGGCTACACAGAGAAGCCCTGTCTCAAAAACCCAAAGACCAAAATAACAAAAAAAGATTATAAACACTGAAGTCAGACAGCCTGGACCAAAAGGAGTTTGTTATGTGATCTTGATGAACTAAGACTGTCTCTGTTTCTCGGTTTCTTACTTTATAAAAAAAAGCAAGGATTTGAAAAGCTAGCCTAAATGTGAGGCTTAGCATAACTTCTGGAGCATAAGGAAGCCATAAAAAAAAAAAAGATCTCAGGTGCAGGAGCAAAAGTACAAAGACTTGGAGCATTTGCATTTATTTGCTTTGCTTTGGTGTTTTTTTTAAACCTAAAAAACATCATGTTGGCCAACAAGATGGCTCAGGAGGGAAAGGCACTTGCTTTCAAGTTGACACATGAGTTTAGTCCCCAGAACTCATGTGGTGGAAGGAGAGTGCCAACTCCCAAAAGTTGTCTCTGACCTCCACATAAACACCGTGGCACAAGCACATACACATACAGAGTGAATAAATAAATGTAACTTTGCAAAAATGATATGAGCTTTTAAGTTTCATTGAAATTTCATGCAAAATTCTTAGATTTTTCTGAGAAGTGTCTGTGGCTGGGCCAGTCCATGTAGCAGCCACCAGCAATGTGTGGCTGCTTGAATTAGGTTTCTTCAATGAGTCTCGTTATGTGACTGAGAGCCCTGTATGTTTTTTTTTGTTTGTTTTGTTTTTTTTTTGTTTTTTTTTTTTGTTTTGTTTTGTTTTTCGAGACAGGGTTTCTCTGTGGTTTTGGAGCCTGTCCTGGAACTAGCTCTTGTAGACCAGGCTGGTCTCGAACTTACAGAGATCCGCCTGCCTCTGCCTCCCAACTGCTGGGATTAAAGGCGTGCGCCACCACCACCCGGCGCCCTGTATGGTTTTTGTTTCTGTTTTTTAACTAGAGGATGCCAGCGGAGAGCATTTTCATCCCTGCATAAGTCCAAGTCCAACAGTGGCCTTGGTCAAATTCTTAGAGCCACACAGGCTAAGGAACTTAAGGGCTCAGCCATCTGAGCAAACCTTCCTTCATTCCTTTTATCCTTTCTTTTTTAAGAACTTACCTATTGTTTCTATTTGATGTGTATGAGTGTTTTGTCTACATGTATGTATGTGCACTGTGTGCGGACCTGATGCCGGGGTGGTCAGAAGAGAGCAACAGATACCAGAGAATTGAAGTTAGAGTTCTGAGCCCTGTGTGCGTGCTGGGAAGTGAACCCAGGTCCTCTGCAAGTACAACAAGTACCCTTAGCCTCTGAGGTGACCCTGCCTGCCTGCATGTTTTTGTTCCTTCCACCACCCCTTCCTTCTTTCCTTCCTTCCTTCCTTCCTTCCTTCCACAGTCCATTGTTTTAAAGTTGCATTTACAATATTCAACATTGTTTTTGTAAATAACAACGCATCTAGTCCCTTTATCCCTTTTGAAAATCTTGTCTTTTAAGGAAGATTTATCCTACCGTAATACTCTGGTCTCCTATCAGAGTAGTGCACACTTGTAATTCCAGTATTTTGGGGTTTTTTTCGTGTCTTTTAATATCCTTCAATTTAGAATAATTCCCTATGTTTTCACTTTCTCTTGTGACATTGATATTCCTTAGTTCAGATTGTATTTTTATTACATGATTAGATGTATTTTACACAACTTTGTTTTACTCTTAGTGCATATGCTGGTCTCATGGAAGAATGTGAATATAAGCACCTTCTTGGTCAATACCTGAGGTTAGGGACCAGGATGGGGTGTGCCAGGTGATAGTTAGTGCACTTGCCTACCGCATGCAAGTTTAGTCCCCGCACTTTTGAAGCAGAGGCGGGAGGAACTACATCACGTGACCTTTTTAAAGCAAGAAAGTAAATACATAAAGTAGCTTACAGGAAGCATACATTCCACACATTTTAAATTTCTTGAAAATGTCACTAGGAGCAGCAGTTAAGAGGTCTGGCTGCTCTTCCAGAGAACCCAGATTCGATTCCCAGCACCCACACAGCAGCTCACAACTGTCTGTAACTCCAGTTCCCAGAGATCTGACACCCTTACACAGCAGGCAAAACACAAATGCACATAAAATACAAGTAAATCATTTTTTAAAAAAGGAAAATATAATTAAGCATACACCACTAGGGGTGGGGGCAGAGAGGAAGACTGGGAACCAAATCCCAGGCCTTGCACATGCTGGACAAGCTCTCCACTGTTGAGTTACATCTTCCCTGAAAATAAGATTTTCAAAGCAAAGCAGCCTGCTAAATCCCTTAAAAAATTGAAGTATGAAAATCAGCTGAGAAAAAAAGTAAAGGAAAGTGCTCATTTAGAATCTTACTTGCTTTTAGATAATACACCTGAGAATAAGCTAAAAATTCATGATTGTCAAATGTAGTTTGGCTTAATAACTGTATTAGGAATTCTTAAAATAGGCAATAGGAGACACTACACAGTAAGCTACAGAACTGTCATAAGCAAATAAAGCCAATATTTGGGATAGTGTCTAAGTCTTCATTTTATTGGATTTTAATCAATTCTTCTAGAACTTATTGCCTAATCAAAGATCTGGTTAGCCCTTTCCTAGAGCAGGCAGGCCTGCACAGAGAGTAAAAGGCTCCCTGTGCAACACTGCTGTTTTGTGCATGGCTGCCTTGGGACCCCACCTCCATCCTCCAGCAGCAGGGGTTGCAGCCTACCAGTGTTGGGAAGGGCAAATTTTCCCCTCACTCTGGCTAACACCAACACTACACCACGCCTCTAGAACTACAGAGGAACTGAAACCCACCTATGTAGCTTGACTGTATCATACTGGAATACCTGGCGCTAAGCCCACCTGGTCCTAAAGGCTCCACAACCAGCCTATCCCAGATAAGCTCTTGTCTAGGTGGATAGAACTAAGGATGTCAGCAGGAGTGAGAAGAGCTAAGACGCTGTAAGTGAGATTGGCCATCCGTGAAGACCACAGGTTATCCTCTGGCATCAAAGCCCTCTTAGGAAAAACAATCTTGGAAGGAGAGCCACCCTCGTTTCTTTTGAAGTACAGTACTGTGTAAGAGTCTGTGTTTAGAGGCTGTGAAGATGGCTCAGTGAGAAAATCCTAAGAACGTGGGTCTGCCATCCCCGGCCCCTTGGCAGTGCAGCTCTGCCATCCCCGGCCCCTTGGCAGTGCAGCTCTGCCATCCCCGGCCCCTTGGCAGTGCAGCTCTGCCATCCCCGGCCCCTTGGCAGTACAGCTCTGCCATCCCCGGCCCCATACCAGTGCAGCTCTGCCATCCCCGGCCCCTTGGCAGTACAGCTCTGCCATCTCCGGCCCCATACCAGTGCAGCTCTGCCATCCCCGGCCCCTTGGCAATGCAGCTCTGCCATTCCCGGCCCCATACCAGTGCAGCTCTGCCATCCCCGGCCCCATACCAGTGCAGCTCTGCCGCCCAGCACGGCGGGCAGGAGATAGGTAGCAGGCAGGGCCTTACTAGCCCACCCACCAGCCTAGCCTAAACAGTGAGCCCCAATTTCAGGGAGACACCGCGTCTCAAAAACCTAGGGTGAAGAAGTGACTGGGGAAGATATCTCAGTATCTACATATGCCTATATACAGGGAAATCTCGCCCACATATATGCTATATGCCTAGAACACACAAAATCACGCAAGTGAAGTATGTGTTTAGCTAATCAACAAAATTGAAAGTCTAGATGAATCAGTTCTCTTACCTCTCCTCTGACAGGGTCTGGGCTGCTGACAACAGCTGATTCTGCGACGGAAGGATGTTCTATCAGGGCACTTTCTACTTCAAATGGTCCAATTCGGTAGCTAGGAAACATGACAGGAACTCCTCAGGGTGAGTTATAGATGCACCCTGGAATGCTTGATTAACAGGCATGCACACACGGAAGGGAAGTTTACCCAGAGGATAATATAACATCGTCTGATCTGGCAACAAACCAGAAATAGCCATCTTCATCCATATAGCCCCTGTCCCCAGTGATGTAAAAATTCCCTCGTAGAGTTGAGGCTGTTTTTGAAGGATTATCCTGCAAAGCAAATAGCATTTGTTAATCTTATTAAGAATGCGACTCTTTTCTCCAGTCATTTTTAAACATTCAAAGAAAAAGAAAGTTTGGCCCCTTTAAGAAGCCTCAGAAGGAAGAGGAACCAGAGTGAAGTAGAAATGACTTGCCAGCATGGATCTTAGCCCAACATAAAGAAAGAAATCGCAGTTACAAAGACTTAGTGCAACTCCTGGAGAATGTTTTATGTAGATAATAAGATAAATGTAGGAGCAACCCAAAGTCCTGGAGAGTAGGTAGAATTAAGCCTTTTTCTATACAATACCTAACAATTGCTGGAAAAAAGAGAAGGGTTAAAAGAAAGCCCAGTGCTTAATTCAGACCAGATGTGTTATTTGCTTTGGTTTGTTTTATATAAGAGACCAGTTCTATAACTGGCATAAAAAGAAAAAAAAAACATAAAGTTGCTGCCTTCCATAAAGTTCACTATCATGTGTTATCTGGACCTCTTAGTATATTGATATAAACTTTGCTCTAATCTGTATGCCATGATTAGATATAAGAAAGCTAGAGAGATTAATTTACTTAATTTTTTGGCCCCATTCCTTATTTCTCTAGTTCCACTGGAGTGGGTAGAGAGCTAATCAGATGTCAGGGAGTAAGTGAGCTCTGTTTGCTAGTGGGAAAGGATCTTCAGATGTTAAGAAATCATAGATAAGAGCCCCCTTTTATGGTTCCTTTCCAAGGAGAGGGCACCAAAGTGTTATCTGGCAAGAATGTTATTTTTTTAATTGCCTGTATTTAGGGTTATTATCCAGGGCCATGGATTTCTCAAGGAAAGACAAAGTTCCTAGGCTTGTTTTGTAAAAATTGGAATGTTACCAAATACTTTGTTTGGTTTTGGTATAAGGTCTCAAGTATTCTAGACTGGCCTCAAACTTGCTTTGTAGTAACTAAGAATGATTTTGAATTTGTGGCCTTCCTGCTTCTGTATCCCATATGCTGGGATTATGCTTTTGAAGACTAAATAGAAAACAAGTTTTTAAAATAAAGTTCTTACTACATAATGAGTAAAAAGGCCAAATGGTCGCTCAGGAAGAACTTGAACACCAATGTCCCCTTCTTTTCCAGGAGGAAGAATAGCACCATTTTCATCTAAAATCTAGAATAAAACAGGACGGTTTATTTAAAGCAATTTTAAATTAATGCCACATTTGAAATTTTACCTTTGAATCATTTTGGCAAGAATATACACTTAAAAATATTTTAACTATACTTTAAATTCTTTTTTATATAATTTTTTAAAGATTTATTTATTTATTATTATGTACACAGTATTCTGTCTGCATTATGCCTACAGGCCAGAAGAGGGCGCCAGATCTCATTACAGATGATTGTGAGCCACCATGTGGTTGCTGGGAATTGAACTCAGGACCTTTGGAACCTTTGGAAAAGCAACCAGTGCTCTTAACCTCTGAACCTTTTCTCCAGCCCCCTACTTTAAATTCTTAAATGTATTATTTACCTAAGTTATCATTGAATAAAATATTATAAAATGCAAAACCAAAATGTGAAAAGATAATAAAAATTTTTCTCACTTCTACCACCAGTAATGTTTTGGTAATGTCCTTTGGGACAATTATAGACAGGAAACACTAGGATTACTTGGCAAGTTTTACAACCTGCTTTTGTCATTTAGCAATATGCCTTTGTTAGGCGTGGATTCCAGAGTTCTGTGTCACTCTGTTGAGTTGAATGTACCAGGGAAGAGAAATAAGAACGACTATTTCAGTCAAGTAACCCTGTGTGAACTGCATGATGAACTTGAGAAATATTGATCCTATCTACAACTAAACTTCAATTAAACCTACGTCTGAGCCCTGTCCTTTGGAAATTGATCCAGTTTTGCCTTTTTGCCACTGTTGCTTCCCTTCCTTTTTATATGAATATTAGTGCAAATCCTTTGTCTATATCTGACTTTGAACCTGGCTTGACCTAATAAAACTTTAACCCCGTATAAAGTGTGCAGATGGGGAAATAAAATGCTTTCGAAACTCAGGCATCAGAGGGTAATAAGGGCCGTGGTTAAAGAAAGCCTGGAAACAGATGGGCAGACAGAGAGAGAAGTTTGTGCTGCAGCCACTTTGAACCTGTGCCACTTTGGGCCTGGATGATCCTGTCAGAGGTCCAGTCTTCCCTCACCACATAACTGGTGGCCAAGAGTGTGGCTGCTGGAGCCAGATTGCTTAAGACTGTGTTCCCACTCTGGGCTCTGGCTGCACGAGCTTGGGTAAGTTCTTTACTTTATCTACAGACTCACCTGCAGAATGGTCCTCTTATTAGTTTATCTTCAGGATATTTCTGGAAATTAAATGCCCAGAATTCATGGCACAATACGGGTGTTTGCAACAATAGTAAGAGAGTATTAAGCCAACCTTTCTCACCCATCTGTCTTTTGGTGTAGAATTTAAGGTATAAATAACATGGAATTATCACATTTAAAGGAGTGTGGGTGAGTGTAAGTGGACATGCACACCTTCACATCAAAGGCAGGAGAAGGCTTTCCCATTGAGCCAGGCTTAATTTTCATCCCTTTGAAATTTCCACAGATCAGCACCTGATTAAGGAGAAGAAAGTAAGGTAACTTCAGAAGTAATATAAAATACTACTTCATCTGCCATGCATTCATACTACAGAACTTAGCTGTGCATCAGGGTCAGCATGAAACCCATAAAATCCCTCCTCTCATGGAATGTGGATATTGACAGTTTACAACTGTACACAATAAAGAGGTGAGAAAATATATGTCTATATTAACATTTGTGTACCACAATGGATACTATGCCAGTTGTATGTAAATAATTGTCAATTTTATTATTGTTTCATTTTGAAATTTCAACATTTCCCGATAATAAAACTCAGAGTTGAGAAATACAGACATTATAAATAAGACACACCCAATGAAGATGTCAACTTTCCCATTTCTCTGCTGGTCTTATTGCCCCTTCTACTACAAAATAAATATGTTCTTCATTATCAGTTTTCTCTAGAGCTCTTCAGCGGTGCTGAGGATTGAACTGTGGTCTCCCATATGCTAGGAAAGTGCTCGGCCACTAAACTACAACCCCCCCCCCCCCGCAACAATGTTCTTTTTTATCTGCATGAGTACTTTAAAGAATTCATTTTATTATATCATATCTTTTAGGTATTTGCTTGTTCATATAGCCTAGGCTGGCCTTGAACTCACTGCATAGCTGAAAATGACCTTGAATTTGACCCTCCTCCCTCCACCTTTAGAGTGCATAGGGGGGGGGGGGTCGCAGGAATGCTTCAGCATCTGCTTTCTAAGGGGTCTCCCAGCACACTCAATGCTTCGGGGAACCAGAAACTAACCGCTTTCTATTTTGTGACTCTTTAGAAACTTCTGTGTCACATAGCGCCAAACTTTTCTCATTAAATATATTGTGACATTCTTTCCTCAACCAGTTAATCATTTTATCAAAAATATGATAGTTTATTTGCAATTAATTTTTCTCAAGCTTTTCTTTATTTAAAAAATAATTGTTTCCTAACCACACCTTTCTGTATCCCTCGAGCAATCATAAGAACACGTTAGACACTTTGGCTTTTGTTTATCTGACTAATCCCATCTAGTCCTGTCTTCAGTGGGGCAGGTACCGTTTCTGTCTGTCCGTATCCTTCGTAGATGTCTAGGCCTGTCTTCCTTCTCCATTGTTCCATCACTTCAGGGTTGATTGGTTCACCAGCACTCACACAGTGCTTCAAGCTTTTGAACTTATAGCTTCTCCAAAAACACGGAGTGAGTTAGGTTGAGAAGAAAAAATGGCGAGACAGGGGAATTAGAATTATTGTTAATACAAAATAAGCAGATCTCTCTTATATATAAAGTAGAACCCTGATGCTAGAAACAGATTGCTCTAATGCCAGGTTCTCTGTCTGTCTGTATCTACTTGGAGAATCACTTGTTGCAAAGAAATACCATGACATCTTTAGGGAAGGTACCCCCATAGTTACACACACACACACACACACACACACACACACACACACTTGCAACATGTAGCCCTGGAACTTGCTATATACACCATGCTGGTTTTGAACTTGGCCTCTGTCTCCCAAGTGCTGGGATTAAGTGTACCACTATGCCCAGCTCTAGAACAATATTTTAAATCTATTAAAAATCACCTCTCAACTGTGAACTGAAGTTCTCTGAAGATGCCACATGAGTGTGGAAGATCTCACAGGCTAAGTGGAGGCACTTCATGATTGTGGTGAGATGGAATGTCAGGGATGGAGGGCCAAAATTGTCCTTGGCACTCTCAGTAAATTATTAGTAACTCATGTATCTAATCTGATCCTCATTTTATTAGATAAAACTCTTGAAATGTATTGTTAAACCTAGAAGGTCACTGGTATCCACCAACTCTAAAACTGAGACTGTTATAGCACCAGAGATCTACAGAAAGCATCCTTTTCTGGTTCCCCTCTAGGCTGCCTACCTGATGCCATCACCAATGTATTGGGCAAAAGCATTGATTCATGCCTTCCTTTTGCTCTGTGACTATGAAAGTTCATTAATTGCTTCCACAGTAGAACACGCCATTCAAGGTCATCTGAATCCATGTCCTTGACCCATAGTCAGTTTTATTTGGCTCAGAACAAACTCTGTCTTACTCTCTTTAGAGCAAGAGCTGTGCTTTGCATCAACACAGGAGACCAGAAGTGCTGATCTGTGAGCACAGACAGTAGCTTCTTTTCAGAGCAACAATCAAGCATTTCAATGGAATCCAGGAGATATAATGCATACATTCTCACTTTTGTTTTCTGGGAGAATTTGCAAAAAGGAACTACCTGTCTACTATCTCAGCTCAGTAATAGCTGTCACTGCAAAGATTAAATACCCCGTTTATTATAACCACTCACTACCACTCAGAGCTCTAGACATGGTCTAATCTTCCCTTTCCTCTCTCTGTTAGTGGGAACCTGATCTTGACAGAGCGACTATCTTTATAAAATGTCAACAATAAAGCAAAGGAGGAAGAGAAAAAAACCCACTATCCTGTACCGATTAGTCAGATCTGTTGGTTGGACAGACAAGTGTTTCATTTCTAGCTTCCTTTTCCTCCTCTCTCCCCTGACTGAGTGTCCCTTTACCCACGTCTCACCTGATTGTATCATTCTGTACAAGCATTCGGTAGGCAGTTGGCGCAGAACAGAAGACAGTGATGGGGAACTTGGAGAGGGTCTGCAGTTTGGAAAGAGCAAATTGTCTCACATGAAATGTTTGATCTGCCAGAGGCACAGCACAGTGTAAACTTTATTTTGATGTTAATGTACTCAGATCTTCTCCTGTCTTTGTGGACTTTGCAGAGGTAGATATCTTAAAACTCTGATCCCTGCATTGACTTTAGTTGCCAGTCCATCGGTGATACCACTAATGCTAACACATCTCTAACCGTGAACTTCCTTTAGTCTGCCTTACTTGCAAGATGGAAGTCGGCTCGAAACGGGGCAAATAGTGTGCAAACACACATGCTCCTTGGATCCATGGAGAAAAAACACTACTCCATGCAGACTTTGCCCAACCTGTGTCTGACGTATTCCACATCACATCTGAGTCTGTCAAATCCAGCCAGAATCTGGAATACAAACAGCCCTGTTGTATACATTTGTTAAAGTGGTAGGAATTGCATGCACACAAATGTATGTAGAAATTTAAATTTGCAAAACGTGTAATTTGTTGAAAAACAAATTTAAAAGGCCAGTGCACAAATGACTCCATGGAAGTACCTTCCGTTGACAGATAATCCTAAACCAAAACTGCTGTGGGTGTGTCCGATCATCTTAGGATGCCCCGTTGTCCCGCTGGTGAAGTAGATGGCCATCATCTCATTGTGCCTTGTGTTCACGCAGGTATGGTTGTCGCTGGCATGTCTGCAAAAAGACAGTCTACAGTGTTTCTCTGCCCGACTGTGACCTCTGAGGAGGACTAGAACACCCATGTGCTTGGGCCTCTTCGGCGTATGAACCAGTAACTTGGATTCAGTCCTGAGGTAAAGACAGCTCTATCTCTGCCCTTTTACTTGTGTGATGTGAATGGCCACCTTCACAATTATGAGTCTGCTAGAGACAGCACCCATCTGAAACCGGTGATCACTGCAGGGTCTTCTACTATAGATTTTCACAGCCCTAAGGATTGATTCAAAGCCCAGGATTCCCAGTGTGTTAGCTGAAAGTTTCATAGGGAATACATAGAAAATTAATTTCTTCCTCTGCTCAATCCTACATCCTTCTCTTCTTCCACAAGAGAACTCCCTATAAGCCTCCTGTACACCATTCTCCATCTCAAGGACCGCTTTTTAAAAATCTCAACCAGACTCCTTACTTCAAAGCTTGGCACTGTTAGTTCTGTAATGATCGCTGATTATTCTTGCTAATTATTGCTTTCATTTGCATTTACCTCACTTATACTGAATTGAATACTTTTCTCCTTCTTGCTTCTCTCTGTGGGGCATTGTTCGAAGATTGAGGCTACTCACCTCATCATCTCCTTGAGGTTCCCCCACCCTTCTCTGGAGTGCTGAGACACAATGAGTTTGGAGGTGAGATTTTCACATTTAGCTGCCACAGCATCTACTGCTGGGGCTAACGCATCATCAGTAATAATGCACTTTGCTTTTGAAGACTGTAGTCTGTAGAGGATGTCTTTCTGGGTCAGCTGAGTGGTTCCCGGAATTAAAACTGTCCCTAAAGGAATAGAAAAGGAATAGTATTTAGAAAGGTTAACCTCTATTATGGAAATTAGGATTCTGTAACTAGTACATTCATGTTCTGTGTGCCTCAGAATGACTTAGTGAGTTAACTAGAGAAGATATCTATTTGTCTTGCATTGCTCTGACTTTTGCCTTTCAAGAGATCTCCAAGTCTATGGCCCTTTTGCCCTAACAAGAGAACATTAAATGCTGAGTGATTGTCTTGTGTTTGAAGATCACCCATAATGTTCAGATTGAAGGAATTTTGACTGAAAAATAGTATTTAACATTGATTATGTTCTTCAGTGCCAGGTATTATTCTATTTTGCATATTTTAACTTCTCCATCCAAACATCTCCAGTGTAAACAGCTATTCATTGCATGTTTCATAGCTTATTAATAACGGGTGAAATTGCAGGAGTTAGAATCTGCCGCTGGACCCGGAGCTGGACATGTAACCACTCCAGCTCAGTGATCTTACACTGCACTGATTGTTTTATTTTTCTTGACACATGTATCTTTTCTGTGGCCCTCCTCTTGCCTGTAGTCAATTACAATGTAAGGTGTAGTGTGTTGGTGTCCAGGAGCCAGACACCCATAAACTTCTTCCCTAATAAGCCCTTCACCTCTGTGAACCTCAGTTTCTGCATATGTAAAACTGGGATTATAAAAATACATCCCTTGTACAATTATTCCAGGATTAAATGAGTTATAGCATGTGATAAGTTTAGAATAAAATGTAATACATCTTAGCTCTTAGCTTTTGGGTTTTTTTTCCCAAAGAATGAAAGGATGTTTTGCCTGAATAGACATGCTAATGTGGAAGGGGGCATCTCATGAAGTCCCACCCCTAGACAAAGGACTGCAGGCAACTGATGACTGCTAGCATGGGAAATGAGCCCCTCCCAGGAATGGGCGCCCGAATTCTTAGCAATACAAAGTGGTCAGCTCTGAAACCATATAAGACAAACAAACGCAAAGGACTCAGCAGATTGCATCATGTGTTTGTGCATCTATCTGTACTTATATGTAACAATAAAGAGGCCATCAGCTTGAGAGTCAGGGAGCGATGTGGGAAACACTGGAGGGAGGGGACATTAAAGGGGCTGGAGGGAGGAAAGGAAAGGGGGAAGTAATGTAATCATGTTTTAATTAAAATGTATGTGATAGCGACTCTTGGTTGTCAACTTGCCTGCATCAGGAATTAAATAAAATCCAAGAGACTGGGCATACCTGTAAGGGATTTTTCTTGATTAAATCATTTGAATAGGAAGATCCACCCTTAATCTTTGCCACACCCGCTGGTGGCAGCCTTCATAAAGGACACGGAAGAGGGAAGCTTGGTCTTTCCCTGCTTGCCCTCACTCTCCCTGGCAAGTACATTTCTGCACTGACATTAGAGCCTGTCTCTTCAGCATTCTGATGTCTACGGAAGCCCAGCTGAGACACTCAGTCTTGTGGGCCGAACAACTGCTAGATTCTTGGACTTTCCATTGAGAAACAGCCTGTGTTGCAATTGTAGATCATAGCCTGTAAGCCACTTTAATAAATCCCATATATATGAGGATATATGGATGTATATATCCATCCTAACAGTTAGGGTTTTTCTAGAGAACCCTGACTAATACAGTGTATTAAAAACGAATTAAAAATAAAAAATAAATAATTTGAAAATAAAAGAATCTACCACCTGGGTTGGAAAGATGGCTCAGTGGTGAAGAGCACCCAGTGCTCTTGCAGAGGACATAAGTTAGTTTCCAGCACCCACGTCAGGCAGCTCACAATAGCCCATGTGACTCCAGCCCCTGTGCACATGCACACATGCATGCACACAGGCATACACACACATGCATACACACACACATACACAATATATATATATATATATATATATATATATATATATATATATATATCCTTAGAAGAGGAATCTGCCATCTATCTTTGTTTCTATCACTTACCTACCTACTTCTGTACTTACCATACATCTGTCTTCTGGGATGCACTATTTTAGCCCCCAGTCTTTAAGAGATAGTAGATGGCATTTACCTCTGGGTATTTTTTTACCCTTCCCCAGTGATATGTGAATCAGAAACCCAGAAATCTATGTAGATTTCTAGGCTGTGTGCCAGAGTTTTAGATTTAGAAGATGTTCAGAATTTGTTTCTGGCAAATTCCCAGCGATACCAATGCCACTGGGCCAACGTCACGCTTTTAGAACTGCAGGTGAGCATTGCTCTTCTTCATCGCCAAGTACCTCCCTTGTTTTAAAGGCACATTAAAATTCACTGGACTGCTCTGCCATTTAATGGTGTCTTCTTAAACACTTTAAAATTCCTTCAAAGGGTCAGAGAGACGGTTCACTGGGTAAAAGTGCTTGCTATTCAAGCATACCAACCTGACCCCACATTCAATCCCCACATCTCACAGTAGAAGGAAAGAACAGACTCCTGAAAGCTGTCTGGTTTCCACATGGCACCTATACACCTGAATGCACACCACACACACACACACACACACACACACACACACACCATAAACACAAACAGTTGAAGAAAAACTCCGTTTAAAGTCTCCTTACAATTACACTCCTCTAAATTTTCAAAGCATACCACATGTGAAAATTAAAATAGAAAAACTTATGGACAGCTTCTGTTTTCTATTTGCAAATAAGCCATATATGCCACTCTCTGTAAGAAACAGAATTGAACAATATGGAAGTCTCCTACCCCCGTCCTTCTCTCTGCCCCACAGTCACCCGAGGACAGCCCTTATCCAGACTTATGTATTAACCGTATCTTTGCCTTTCTTCATCTATGTATAGAATCCTAAGCAATATACAAGTTCTATTGAGTTAAGACTTCAATTTTCAGCTAGCTATTGTGGATTATTCCTTTACATTGTGTGAAGATGTGTCACTGTGATTGGCTTAATAAAGAGCTGAATGGCCATTAGCTGGGCAGGAAGAGGTTAGGCAGCACCTCTGGGGACAGAGAGCTCTGGGAAGAAGAAAGGAAGAGCCACCAGCCATACATGGAGTAACTAGGATGGGCCTAATGGAGGTTAGGTATTGAGCATGTGGAAAATGTAGATTAATAAGTATGCGGTAAGTTATAAGAGCTAGTTAGAAACAAGCCTAAACTAAGGCTGAGTTTTTACAGTTAATAGTAAGTCTCTGTGTCATTATCTGTGAGCTGGCAGCCCAAGGAAAAATCCATTTACCACTAGTTAGTGGGGTGGGGGGACGCTGAGACAGGGTTTCTCTGTGAAACAGCCTTGGCTGTGTTGGAACTTGCTTTGTAGACCATGGAGCCTTGAACACAGAGATTTACCTGCCTTTGCTGGGATTAAAGGTGTGTACCACCACATCTGACTTTTAGGGTTTGTTTTGATGTGCGTATGTGCTGTGTCTGCGTTTTATGAGTATATGTACACATGTGTGTTCAGGTGCCTGCAGAGGCCAGAAGAAGGTATTACATCATTTGGAACTCGAGTTCCAGGCATTTGTAAACTGCCTGAACTAGGTACTGATGCCCAAAGCTCTGGTCCTCACAACTAAGCCGCAGGTACTCTTAGCCGCGAGTCATTTCCCAGCCTCTAGCTGTTTACTTATTAAGTGGGAGAAATGGCTATGCGCCACAAACACTGATACTCTTAAGACGACTGGATTTATGGTTCATTGTCTCCCTCTCATCTGTCTAAGGTGATTTGCTTCCCTTCCCATCAAGAGCCCCAGGAATCATGTTGGGATCAGGAAAAGTTGCCTCTGACTTGTTCTGCCTGGCTTATTCTAAAGTTGTACCCATCAGATTCTGCTTAAATATTTAAGATCCTGAGTGGAGTACCAGATGGCTCACATGGGGTCCAGAAGCATCTGAATAGCAACCAATGCTGCACATAGCCTGACTGCAGAGGAATGTTGGCAGAGAGGAATAAAGAGGCAGTACATAGGAAAGACACAGAGAAGGGGTGCATTGGCTTCAGGACAAACAGAGGAAGCGACTCCTGGGTAGAGTCTGCCTCCAAACCCCTTTGCTCCTTCTGTACCATTTTTCCCTCTGTAAGACTCTCCAGCGGCCATTCTATTGCCTCCTTTATTGTATTAATATGAATGTATACCTGATCCTGCCAGCCAATCAGTGCTTCACTAAGAAAGTGAACATAAGGAATGATCATGAGTGCACTCATTTTGTAAAAAACTGTTTGAAAACAGGCTCTGCTTTTCCAATGTATAATTCATATGTGTATATGAAATAGAATATGTCAGCTGTCCTCTAATGATATAATACAGTGATATATTGTAACAACTAGAACATTAATTCAATAAATATTTTACTGAACATTTACTATCTGCTAAGCACTGAAGGTGTAAGATATGCTGTATTAATGGCCTTTTAGGAACATACCTAACCCTCATGGGAATTGCAGGTTATATTTATAGGCAGATACTATGCCTCAAAAGTTTAAATAGTAACATATACTACTAATGGGTGCGGTGGTGGTTTGAATGAGAACAGCCCCCAAAAGCCCATTAATATTTGGCTCCCAATTGTAGACTATTCAGAAAGGATTAGGAGGTTGTGTCCTTGTTGGAGGCTCTGAGGTTTCAAACCAGAGGCCCAGTCTTGCCTTCTCTCTGCTTCCTGCTTGTGGATCAGATGTAAGATCTCAGTTACTGCTCCAGCACCATGCCTCTTTCCCACCATAATGGAAATGTACTAACCCTCTGGAACTGTAAGCAAGCCACTAATTAAATGCTTTTCTTTTACAAAGTGCCTAGGTCATAGTGTCCCTTCCAGCAATAGAACAGTAACTATAACAGGCATTTAAAGACAGTAGTATTCACTTTGAAACATCAGAATATGGTTGTCTGAGACGGTAACATTAAACTGAAGATTGAGAGAGCTGGAGAGATGGCCCAGAGGTCAGGAGCACTGACTGCTCTTGCAGAAGACCCAGGTTCTATTCCCAGTACCCATGTGGGCGTACACAACCACCCTTAACTTCAGTTCCCCAGGATCTGATGACATCCTCTTTTGGCCTCTGCAGGCACCAGGCATGCACATAACATGCAGACACACATGGCAGGGAAACACTCATATCCATTAAATAATTACATCTTTAAAAACAAACAAACAAACAAAAAACCTGACATTTTCAAGTTGAGTAAGAGTTGCTCATGTACTTAGTTTTGAGGGAAAGACATTCTAAGCATAGCAAACAGTATAGAGAAAATTCTGAAGATGTGAATGACCACAAACATGAACAGAAAACATAAGCTATGATAAGGACACGAAGTCTAATGGTGGAGAGATTAAAGGAATGCTGAAATAGCTGTACCCTTCTGAGATGCACCTATGACTCTTGGAGCATAGCTGGCAAGTAGAGTTACTAAATGCTGCCAAACAGCAAGCTGTACCCAGGTAAATAGCTCATGGTTACTTAGACGTGTGGATCAAGTTGCCTGTTGCAATGGGATCAGAGCGTGAGCCTTACCAACCTGTTCGCAGACAGGCCACATTTGCAAGCCACCACTCTGGGATCTTGGGCAGAATCACCATTACTCGGTCTCCCCTTTGCAAGGAACAGGCTTCTGTGAGTATGTTGGCAAATTTCCTGGATAAAGATCCGAGTTCTTCAAAACCCCATCTCACTTCTCCTCCATTTCCATCTATCCACCAGAAGGCTGGGTTGGAAAGTCTCCCTCCAGCCTGAGGAAAGCACAGCCATCATGGACTTAGAGGGTGTTATACAGTTAAATTATATTTCAGCTGACTTATAGGAGCAAATTCTCTGCAAAAACTCACAAGTCAGTTATTAGTCAGGACATACATGGATTAAGTACAGATCACTCAGAAGTTCTTATTTCTACATGCTGGGAACCATGTCAGTTTTTTACGAACAGTCCTTTCTCATTTATCATGATAATTTTTTCCCCAAAGTTAGAATTTCTACATCCCACCATCTCCCCAGGGAAGTATCCATACTTCATTTCTTTTCATTTTGACTCTTGAAATCACTTTTTACTCCTTTTTGTTTAAAAGTGGGGGGAAAAAACCAAAAAGGATGCATTAATACAACCTAGACTTTCTCAAACAGCCACGAAGGCCTCATAGACTGGATAAGACCTTGTTCTGGGGCTGCGCCGCATATTAGAGGACATCAGTACTGCCCCTCTATCCTTAGATGTCAGAAGCAACTACTGACTTCCCCTAACCACCCCTTCGTTGTAGCGAAACTCTCTACAGTCCTTGCTAACTACTCTTGGGGGCTATGATCACTTGCAATAGAGTCACTGTAGTCTGACTGGCATTTGTTCCATACCTTTTCCACACTGCTCCATTGGTCCAGGACATCTTTTGCAAAATTGAAATGCTCTGGAATCTCTAGTTTGAAGTCCTGTTTCATGGATTCATAGTTGGAAAAGTTCTGAGGGGTTGCTGTTCTGTAATCTTTATACAAGACTCTTAAAGGACCAGGAATTGCTAGGCGCTGCAAACACTTAGCATGAAGTAACATTGCCATGGCGACAAGAGCTATCTAGCATCAGCGCTGCTGGATGTTTTAACACTTGGGATTTCCATGCAGACTAATCCAGCTAAAAGACAAGCAAAAAATGACATGCGTTTAGTTTAGTTTGCAAAGTAGTAAGACCGCAAAGCACACCTAAGTTTTACCATAACTCTCCATCATGACCCACTCAGTATCATTTTCCGGGCATTGGTATTTGCTTTGATGCTTTGTGTATTCTTTGTCATTAAATCCTTAGAGAACCCCTGTAAAGTATGTACTGTTGTGATCTGTGTCTACAGATGGTGGAAACAGTAAGAGCCATTGGCTGGATTGTCCTGACTACCCACACTATTGCTTTCTACATGCATTTCTCAACTTTTTGTGACTGTGCAGAGGCTTATGATCTAATGCCATATCACACCCCACAGATTATCTACATGTGAGGAAACTAAGAGGAGCCTAGTGCCAGCTGGGCCTGACAGCACTGTCTATGTTTAGAGTCTGTCTGGTTTACAGGCTACAGTTCCCATGCTCTCAATAGGAGCCCACACTACCACCATCGAGTCCAGGCTTGGAGATATAATAACAGGGCTTCTGTGCAGGGAGGTCCTTCCCAGCCACCTACTACTCCTTACTTCTGTGGTTAGTCGTTTAATCACAATGTCATTTTACTTGGCCGAGGCTATTAAAACTACAGTTTTAGTGTTCCAGGGATTGTGACTGAGTTTCTCCTCCTTATGCTTCCCACAATTTTCCTGCAATAAAACAGATACTGCTCTCATAATCATTACAGCATAATTGTAACTGTGATTCTAGCTGTGTGGTAGGGCAGCCTGGCTATATGGAATCATTTCTGTAATGATAAAGTGTCCAACCAGGACAAGATACCAGATATCAGCTAAACTGCATCCTACGTGGATGTGGTGGCCGGGCATTATGTTAATGCATTGGATGCATTTGAAAGCCAGGCTCCCTGATGTCTCACCTCGTTGTGTGAGAAACTGACCAGTCCATGATCTTGAGCTTCTAAGATCATCCTGCTTGGCCCTCCTTGTTTTTCACCTTCAAAGAAAATGAACCTCAAACAGAGGAAGCATCAGACTTTACCTATTGTGTCAGGGCTCGAACCTGGGTCTTTGGATTCTCATTGGAATGGCTTTACCTTGGGCCAACAGGACTCCAGCAGAGCAGTGGTTTGGTACCTTGTCTATGCACTGACTCATTAGGAAAGCTTTTTATAAAAACTTGAATGCTTGCATCATTGCCAATTAAGTCGGCATTTTAGGTAGTGGGCCTATACTATTTTTTTAAATTTTCCTCAGATTGTAATGCATAACCCACGTTGAGAGTCACTCATTCAGAGCCTGGGATCTAGGAACCATCAGTACAACTGGAAGCTTGTCAGAAATGTAGTTTTTGAGTCCCACTGCAGATCTGTTGAATTAGTGGATCTCAATCTTTTAACAAGATTTCCCAGGCAACAAGTTTCTGTGTTCAAGTGAGAGAAACGATAGTCTTTAGGGTGTTGGCTAAGTCCATTGCCTATTTATCATACAATCATGGAACTGGTCTATTTACCACTTATTTAAATAGTGGTTACTATTTAAATTGTTACTCTATGAATCTCAGCTTTAAATTTTATTAGTAAAGACACTGATAAAACCTCTGACAGAGAGGTATGTTTACCAAAGACTGAATTCAATAATGCAAAATGTTGCCAGGGCACCAACAAGGGTATGTGAGTATCGGGCTTTATGGATCTTACTTTTTCTGTTGTGATACTCAACTCTGCCATAGATGTTGGTAATACATAAATAAATAAACATGGTCAATTTCTTCCAAACACCTTATCGATGAACACTGAAACTTGAATTTCATGCAGTTTTCATGTGTTATGAAGCACTGTTTCTCTTTTTCTTCCCCAACTATTTAAAGGTGTGAAAACCGCTGTTAGTTCCCAACGTTGTTAAGATGGACAGCCGTCTGGCTAATCTCACCAGCTATAGTCGGCTGATGGTACTGGACTATAAATTCCGTGAGACTCAGAGCTGAGACTGTCCTCCTCAGACTTCTGTCCTGGGACTCATAACCACATTTGATTCAAAGTGTATGGATTTCTGATCCAGTTTTTTTATCCAATTGAAATTAAAGTCAATTAAAAAATAATTTGTTAACCTTTAGCTCCAAAACTTGCTAAGCAGAGGCAAGCAGACTTCTGTGAGTTCAAAGCCACTAGTTTACATAGTGAGATCCTGTCTCAAAAAGTATATATAAAAATTAAAACTAAAGGGAATATTTGTTGAGCGAATAAATGGCTTTTTCAGAAGGGAGAAATTTTAACTCTAGGGTTATAGTTGATCGAAGAGGTACCTCAATGCTTTAACCAGAGTTAGGTGATACCTGCATCATCTACATGAGGCAGTTTATGTTAATATAAGCGTAATTGTAAAAATCAGTTCATTGCTCTCCAGCTAAGGTTTGGAGCTCTGCCCACCTCCCTTCTCCATGCTGTTACAAGTCCCTGTGAGCTCATATGTGTGCCTGCCCTACTGTGCCCAGCAAACAGTTTCCTTGTAGATCTGGGAGGAGTGGCTGGTGGTGGTAAAAATAATCAAAACACATTGTATTAAATTTTCAAAGAACTAATAAAAATGAGAAAGTAAAGCAAAAGAAAAATCAGCTCATTGGTTACAGAAGTTGTATTTCAAGAGCTTGATAGCAAGTGTGGCTCAGGTCACCCTGCACTGGCCAGAGCTGACCTAATGCCTTTCTGTTGTTGCAGCATTTGCTGAGGATCTGTCTGGCTAACAGCTCAGAACTGAACTCACAGAAAACGTTAAAAGAAAAACTGAAGGAGGAAATTTCTCAAGGTAAAACTTTCCTTCAGGTTCAGGGTTGGGAAAGCACCGCCCAGAACTTTCTCTGACCTAATAGTTATGAAGAAAAAGCAATGCAAAAAAGCCACCTTTTTAGAACCAAATCACCCTGAGGCTGTTTCCCCAGGGTTCAGCCCTCAAGGTCCCAAATGGCATTCTGTTTGGTGGCAGGGCCAGGTAGCAAGAGAGCAACTGGCTGGCTGCATGCTGAAGCAACTACCTGGCCTCTTGGCTGTACTCCAATTTCTTAACAGGATTAGGATCAAGTTCTTTTGAACCTCTCCCACCCCCAAAACACACACACACACACACACACACACACACACACACACACACCAGTGCTGAATGCTGAAGACGGAAAGTTTTGTCTAAAAGAGACAACACTAAGTTCTCTGAAGCAAACCCATCTTGGTTTTTACTTCTTGGTATAATGTCTTCAAATGATTCAAAGACCATAAAAGATACATATTGAAAACTATCCCCTTCCTGTCTTGAAGGGTTTGTATTTAACCCTAGTCTTACCTCCCAGGGGTCACTGTGTTTCTCAGCATCTCAAATATGACTGTCAACTCTCATTTTTCCACAGGCTGGAAAGAACAGGCAGCCTAAATTCTCACCATTCCACCTACCCAATCCGTTTTCACTAATGTAGTTTTAGAGGCCACTTCATATCAGTACATAGAGCTCTCTATTATATTAAAAAAAAAACAGCTCGAAGAGCAATCAGGGTTCCCTGACCTGTGGGAAGCCCAAGGACTGCCCACCTCTATCCAGGTCTCGTACGGTGAGCATTCAAACTGCCTAGGCTCCCACAAAGCCAGTACGTGCAGTAGGATCAAAAACCCACTGCAATTGTTCTTGAATTCTCAGTATTCCTCATTGTCCGCTATGTTCAGCTAGTCCGGATTTATCCCATGCTTTTTCAGACCTAGGCCAGCTGGCCTTGGTGAGATCCCAATAGAACATCCCCATTGTCTTAGTGTGTGGGTGCACCCCTTCTTCGAGCAGATGAGGGAGGGGGACTTGATCGGGGGGAGGGGGAGGGAAATGGGAAGCGGTTGTGGGGACGAGGCAGAAATCCTTAATAAATAAATAAATTAAAAAAAAATATATTAAAAAATAAAAAAAAAGAATATTTGGGCAACACATATTGGTATTGATGGGCTTTTTTAAAAAGGACACAAAGTTGGGTAGGTAGTGAAGGGGATGGGTCTTGGGAGAGTTGGGTAGTTGGGTGAATGTGATCAAAGATCTAATGTACATATTATTATTATTATAATATTATCTAATATATATTAGAACTTTGGTCATATGTATATGACATTCAAAGACTTTATGTAAGAATAAAGCAGATATCTGTTATCAACTAAAAAAAAAAAAAAACAGCTGCCTTGCATTGTACTGAACAGCTGGTAGTTCCCAATTGCTGATCACTTGAGCTGTCCCTATCATTTTGCAATTTAAGTGAGAAATTGAAACCATTTATTCAAAATGAATGCCCTGATTCTTTCTCTCAATACAAATGTTATTTTAAAGTAGTTAAGAAGTAGAATGAACATTTCCTGGTCCAATTGAAACAAAGGGCAAGAATTTGATCCAGTCCTGACCCAAGCTTTGTAGGCTAGTATGAGTCATTTATTTACTCAATAAATATTGACCGAAAGTTTGAAATGTTGCAAATATAGACAATACATTGAGGGGATGAAAGAGACAAAGTCTTCTACTGTCATGGACTGGCGCATGTAAATGAGGTAACAAACAGATGTGTTGTTTCATGAAAAGGAAAAACGGTTACCAGGAAGCTATTTTGGAAGGTCTCCTCAGGGATACAGCATGTTTGCTGAGCTCTGACAAGTGAGTGGCCGCACTGTGCGCAGCATTTTGCATTAGTTTTATTATTCCACATTCTAGAGAAGCACACTGCCTTCAAGTCTATTCTTAGCCAAGTGACTAGTACACCCATTCTTCCACCAGATACCCGAGACAGGCTTATATCAAATGCTGAGACTTCGTCTGTGAATATAACAAGGCCAGGTCTGCCCCCTCCCCACAGAAGTTTCCAAACTATTAAACAACTGTGCAGATGTTTACACTGGTGGTAAACACAGTTTACTAACCGATACCAAGCAGAATCAGAGTTCAGTATGATTTCTCCCCATCCTATGCAACGGTTCTCCTTCATTCAGAATCTTTCACGCATACATTGGTGTTGCCTATGGTAAATTCCTCATGTTCCAACAAACAGCCACCCACCCATGCTCATGCAAGAATCCTCATTAAACTCACTGGGTATAAAAGACATGGAGGAGGTGGGGCTTGTTGGGGCTCAGCAGCTAGTTCCAGGACAGGCTCCAAAAATCTACAGAGAAACCCTGTCTCAAAAAACCAAATAGACATGAAGGGGGTGGGGCTCAGCAGGGGCTCAGCAGGAGTGGGAAGGGGCTGGGGGCCATAATAGAAGGTGGATTTGATCAAAACACGTTATGCATGTATGAAATTGTCAACAAGTAGATTTTCAAAAAGAACTTATTTCAAATGAACATTAAAAATTTCACATTTAAAAAAAAAGAACAGAAAATTGGTCAGTCAGTTGGAACTTAAAATAAACAAATCATTTTTTTTTTCAAAAAGAAGTGTCAGGGGCTGGAGAGATGGCTCAGTGGTTAAGAGCATTGCCTGCTCTTCCAAAGGTCCTGAGTTCAATTCCCAGCAACCACATGGTGGCTCACAACCATCTGTAATGGGGTCTGGTGCCCTCTTCTGGCCTGCAGGCATACACACAGACAGAACACTGTATACATAATAAATAAATAAATAAAATATTTAAAAAAAAAGAAGTGTCAGGCTGGGCTGTTGTGGTGCACACCTTCATTTCCAGCACTTGGGAGGCAGAGGCAGGTGGATCTCTGTGGGTTTCAGGACAGCATGGTCTACAGAGTGAGTTCCAGGACAGCCAGGACTGTTACACAGAAATACCCTGTCTTGAAATAACCAAAAAAAGAAAAAAGAAAAAAAAAGGAAAAGAAAAAGTATCGACACCCCCTCATCAAAGTCATAATATTCTTTTTTTCTCAGTCAGTTCCTGTCTTTTCAGTGATACTAGCATCTTATAAAGCCCCCTCTCTGGGTCTGTAAAATCCCTTGCAGATGAAAGAAAAGATCTCTTCTGCATCGTAAACCTGGGCTTTACACCAAGCCTCGGAAAATGCTGCTAAGGAAATTCTAAGGAAGGCACCACTGACTGGCCAGATGGGCTCTCGAAGTGTTCAATTCTCGTCTGAGATACAGCTTTGAGTCCATGTAAATGCAGGGCAGAGGGCTCTTCTGTCCCCCACATCTCCACAACACCCCTCCCCCTAGTTAGCCCCAAGAGTGACAGCAGTTTGACAGACACACTAAGGGCCCTGCCTTAACCCCACGCCCCAACACACGACTTTTAGAGTGTCCCCCGTCCCAGAGAGAACTTATTGTCACAGATTTCCTATCTCTCTCTATACTTCCCAAACATAAACTACCTAGAGGCAATTTGCATACTTTTGGATTTGTAGGAGATGGATTTCCATCTATCATTGAGCAAGGTGTGGCCAGAGAAACATTTGGCCCCTACTCAATGTTCTTTAAATTTACGCTTCATGAATTTGCGTGCCATCCTTGCGCAGGGCCATGCTAATCATCTCTGTGTTGTTCCCGTTTTAGTCTGTGTGTTGCCGAAGCGAGCATCCCGACTCAATTTTTTCCCGAAACATTTTACCATGTAAACACACCTACACAATATTAAAAACTCAAGCCTCACCAAAATGCCTAAGCTGAAAACTCAGCCTGCAGCCTGTGAGGGCTCAATCCCCATTACTTCCTCAGCAGTGTTTCCACTGAGGAGCTCTGAGAGAAACACCTTTGCCATCTGGCTTCACAGAGCATTTTCCAGATTTGCTGGTTTTGTTTGCTGAACATATATTACAAATCTAGCAAATAGGATACTCACGAAAGGTAGCAGTAGTGATAGCAGACCTGCTTCATGGAAGAGAGGCTTGATTTCTCACATCTGATTTAGTAGATCAAAGTGGAAGGAGTGTGACAGAGTGCTGGCTGCCAGAGTGCCTTCCCTTACTTGATTGGTGAGCACACGGGAGGGTGGAGCATGGACCTTTACGTAACCCCGACCTGCGACCTGCCCTTCTTAACAGGTACTGATTTGTACACACGGCAGGCTTTTCGTCAGCTGGGAAAGCTGTGTGCACAGGAGGGAAAGGTGTCCAAAGAGTTGCTGAGAATTGGAGAATTGCCAGAATTGGAGGCCCACACGTGTAGTCCCAGCCCTTCAGAGGTGGAGGCGGGAGTTCAGGAGCTGTTGTGAGGGCTAGTACTGTGAATGGCAGAAGTTCTCAGAAAGAGGAAAGAACACTTGAAGGAGACTCAGAGCTATTTTGAAATGAATAAATACAGCCTTGGGCAGGGTTGATAAGAGTGTTCAGTAACCGGGAAGAACCACGCATCGACACTGCCAGGTCACTTGAGTGGTTCTCAGCATACCAGTCATTCAGAGGACTCTAAGAAGCTGTGGGGTCTTCTCTGCCTCCCTGCCCTTCAGCCACAGCAGTCCCGCTACTCGCCCCAGACCCAGCCACGTTCCAGCTTTGCACCCCCACTGCGTGAAACTCTTCCCTGAGAGCCTGTGGCCAAATCCTCCTTTGGGGAGATCCCCTGCCAGAGGCACTTTCTACACCGACTTCTCTAAAATAGCACTCTTTTCCCTCTGACAGCCTTTTGCTTATCTTATCACAAAGTTTGACAATAAAATTTGTTTTTGTTTTGTTTTGTTTGCTGCTGATGTATCATCTGACAAAAGTTAGCCATTCAATAAATGTGGTGTGTGAATAAATGACTCATTCAGTTGCTTGTGATAAAAACCCAACTCAAATTTAGTTAAAGACAGGAATTTCTACAATGGGCATGGTGGCACACACTTTTAGTCCCAGCACTTGGGATGCAAAGGCAGATGGACCTCTGCTGAGTTTGGGGCCAGCATGGTCTACACAAAAGGTTTTGTGGCTGGGTTGGTGTCCCAGTCCCACCCCTGGAAGGATTGCCTGGTTACAGAGGATGGACAGTTTTTATAACTATACCTTTGAAGTCCAGCTAGACATCAGGAATGGTGATGCCTCCAGATGTTCTTTTATTGTTCAGAATTGTTTTAGCTTCCCTGAGTTTTTTTTGTTTTAAATATGCAATTGAGTATTATCTTTTCAAGATTGGTAAAGAATTGTGTTGGAATTTTTATGTGGATTGTGTTGAATTTGTAGATTGCTTTTGTTAAGATGGCCATTTTTACTGTATTAATCTTACCTATCCATGAGTGTAGGAGATTGCTGTGGGGTAATGCTGTGGCACACTTTAAAAATTTGTCACTCATATTGGTTTAATAAAATGCTGATTGGCCAGTAGCCAGGCAGGAAGTATAGATGAGGCAACCAGACTAAAAGAGTTCTGGGAAGAAGAAAGGCAGAGACACAGTTGCCACCCAGACACAGAGGAATCAAGATGAGGATGCCTTACTGAGAAAAGGTACTAAGCCACATGGCTTAAACATAGATAAAAATTATGATTAATTTAAGTTGTAAGAGGTAGTTAATAATAAGTCTGAGCTAATAGGCCAAACAATTTATAATTAATATAAGCCTCTGTGTGTTTCTTTGGGACTGAATGGCTGCAGGACCAGGCAGGAGAGAAACTTCTGTCTACAGGAGATCTTTTCAACTTCTGACGTCTTCTCCTATTCTTTTTTCAAGGTTTTAAGTTTTTACTATATGGGTCTTTCACTTGCTTGGTTAGGGTTACCCCAAGATACTTTATATTGTTTCTGACTATTGAGAAGGGTGCTGTTTCCCTGATTTCGTTCTCAGTCTGTTTGTCATTTGTATATAGAAGGGCTACAATTTTGTATTTGTTTTTGTTTTTCTGGATAGGGTTTCTCTATGTAGCTTTGGAACTCACTCTGTAGAGCAGTCTAGCCTCAGACTCACAGAGATCCACCTACCTCTGCCTCCCGAGTGTTTAGATTAAAGATGTGTGCCACCACTGCCTGGTGGATTTTTTTTTTTGTTTTTTTTTTTTTTTTTTGAGACAGGGTTTCTCTGTGGCTTTGGAGCCTGTCCTGGAACTAGCTCTGTAGACCAGGCTGGTCTCGAACTCACAGAGATCCGCCTGCCTCTGCCTCCCGAGTGCTGGGATTAAAGGCGTGCGCCACCATCGCCCGGCTGGATTTTTTTTTTTTAAAGTAAATCTTGTATTGAGTCATGTCATTGAAAGTGTTTATCGGCTGTAAGAGTTTCCTAATAGAATTATTGGGGTTGCTTTATTTTATTTCTATACTACAAATAAAATATACAAAATAGGATACAGTAGAGCAGTAAGATGTAATTGCTATGCTAATAATTGATGCTTATATGTTTTATATCATTTACACCTTAGATAACTTACCATTAAGAAATTATGTTGAAGCTGGGCAATGGTGGCACATGCCTTTAATCTCAGCCCTTGGGAGGCAGAGGCAGGCTGCTCTCTGTGAGTTCAAGGCCAGCCTGGTCTACAAGAGCTAGTTCCAGGACAGGCTCCAAAGCTACAGAGAAACCCTGCCTCAAAAAAAAAAAGAAGAAAGAAAAAAGAAATTATTTTGAATCCTTTTATAATAAAGGTCTTGGAGATAGCAGGGATACAAGGAACATACCTAAACATAATAAAGGCAATATACAGCAAGCCAACAGATAACATCAAACTAAATGGAGAGAAACTCAAAGCAATCCCACTGAAATCAGGAACAAGACAAGGTTGTCTTCTCTCCCTATATCTATTCAATATAGTACTTGAGGTTCTAGCTAGAGCAATAAGACAACAAAAGGAGATAGAGGGGATACAAATCAGAAAAGAAGAAGTCAAACTCTCACTATTTGCTGATGATATTATAGTTTACATAAAGGATCCCAAAAATTCTACTAAGGAACTTCTACAATTTATAAACACCTTCAGTAATATAGGAGGATACAAGATTAACTCAAAAAATTCAGTAGCCTTCCTTTACACAGATGATAAATGGGCTGAGAACGAAATCAGAGAAACATCACCCTTCACAATAGCCACAAATAGCATAAAATATCTCAGGGTAACTTTAACCAAACAAGTGGAAGACCTGTATGAGAAGAACTTTAAATCTTTGAAGAAAGAAATTGAAGAAGACACCAGAAAATGGGAAGATCTCCCATGCTCTTGGGTAGGTAGAATTAACATAGTAAAAATAGCAATCTTAACAAAAAAAAAACCTACAGATTCAATGCAATGCCCATCAAAATCCCAGCAAATTTTTTCACAGACCACAAAAGAACAATACTCAACTACATATGAAAAAACAAAAAAAATCCAAGATATCCAAAACAATCTTGTACAATAAATGAACTTCTGGAAGCATCACAATCCCTGACTTCAAACTCTACTACAGAGCTACAGTACTGAAAACAGCTTGGTATCGACATAAAAACAGACAGGAAGACCAATGGAAACATATCTAAGACCCATATATCAATCCACATACCTTCATACACCTGATTTTTGACAATGAAGCAAAAGATATCAAATGGAAAAAAGAAAGCATATTCAATAAAGGGTGCTGGCATGACTAGATATCAACATGTAGAAGAATGAAAATAGAAACTGCCCTTGCCTGGACTGCTTGATGTTATGCTAGATGAACTGGACATGTGGGACCCACAGAAAAATGACTGCTGAACTTGCAGAGTCTTAAATAAGTATTCTTAGTAGCTTTGAAAGTGTCGGTGCCTACGGGAACAGAATTTCCTCGGATTGCTGCTGTTGCAGCCTACCCACTGCTAGTGACAGTTGCCGTTGCTGGCTAGGATAGCCGTAGTTTAGAAGGCAGCAACCATTTGTTTTTTGATTGTTTGTTTGTTACCTTTACTGACTAAGCTTGGCTGGCCTTGAACTTGCTCTGTAGACCAGGCTGGCCTCCAATTCAGAGATCCATCAGCCTCTGCCCTTCTGAGTGCTGAGATTAAAGGGTTGCACCACCATTGACTTGAAGATTTAATTCCTTTTCACAAATGGAAACTTAGCTGATGGGATCTTGCTCTGAGGTCACCACTCCCTTTATCTGTTTTCTTAATCCTTTTATCTCTTTGAACACAGGATTAGCTCTATTCCATTTTCTGGCACCCCTTCTCAATCTGTATGTTTTGTATTTTATTTGGTCAGCTTACTCCTTTTCATTATAAATTTTCATTAGAGTTACCATCAGTAACCACACAGCAGAGTCTATGTAGGGTGTTTTGAGATTCCCTATGCTAATGGAATAATCCAGCACTTTTCACTTTAGTCTCAGGCAGACTATTCAGAAAAGGGCAAAAGCAGCTGCATTTTCCACCAAAATATCGCAAGAATGATCTCTAGACAACTAGTAAAATTCTTCTCCTCTGAAACCTCTTGGGCCAGTTCCAGTTCAAATAACTCTTAGTACCCCTGTCTTCCATGCTCCTGCCAGTATGGCCCATTAAGCAGTGCTTAAAGGATCCTTGTGGAAAACAGTGTTGGTTTTGTTGAAGGGGCATTGCAACCATTTCACAAGACATCTCAGCCACACCTGGGGCTCTTGTGTTATTGTGTATTGCAAACGATACATAATAAAGGACTAGAGTCATGAAGGAACGTGATGCTCTCCTTTCGTAAGACATGTAAATTAGATTAGGGACCTTGGTATGAGGAAATACTTTGTGTAACTTTCAATAACTAATGCCTTTGTATGGCTTTTCAGGGCTCAGTCCATCAGTAGAGGCTGGACCTTCCTGCTGCCACATAGACCTTTGTAGTATTAGGAGCGGCGGGGCTGCGTCCCCAGCACCCGGCCGCCCCCACGGCTAGCTTTACTCAAAATAATTACACGGAAACTGTATTCTTTTAAACACTGCTTGGCCCATTAGCTCTAGCCCTTACTGGCTAATTCTGATATCCCGATCAACCCATCTCTAATAATCTGTGAGCACTGGTCTTACCGGGCTACGTCCATCCTGGGTTGGAGC